ATGCTTGGCTGAAATTTTTTTTTAAATCTCAACTATTGGAAAGTAAATGGCAGACATTATGGTATTTTACCCCTAAATGTTTAAAATGCACCTCCCATGATTTAAAAGGCACGCTCCGTTACAACCAGTATGCTGTTATCATATGTAAGAAAACTCTGTAATATTATCTATAAAAGGTCTCATCAGTTTTTTTCTCCCTGGTATTGTTTTGAAGAGTGGATTTCTCTGATTTGTGATGTTATTTAACTTGTTCCTGTAGCACCTTTATTTTCTTTAAATTCGTCTTACCCTGTATGCTTATCTTCCTTTAAGTACTTCATTTCTGTATTCAAATTTCTTCAGTGTCTTAAGAATTTTCATAGGTCTTCTTATTCAAAAAAGGGTATGTTTATTCTCTGGATTGTTGGATGATTTAGTAGTTGTCAGATAATTCTATTCTTTTAAAATTTCTTTCCCAGCTTTAGCCAGCTGTCTTTATATGTTCTCTATTTTGAATTTTGGACCTTCTAATTCATCTGTTCTTTCATACCTATAATTGCTGTTTAATTATGTTCAATTCATGTTGAAGTATTATGTCGTAGTCCTTTTCTACTTAGTTACTGGGGTTTGAAGCAGTTGCTTTTATCAGCAGAAAAGCTTTACATACTTACCTTCATATTTTCTTATTGTAGCCTAGTGTATATCTTAGATTACTTATTCTGTTTCTGATAGTGTATTGAATTTTCCTGGTCCATAAAAGATGTGATTCTACGAGCCCCGGATTGAAAGGTTTTCTTGGTTTCTCAGTTTAAGACTGACCTCTTCTGTTGGTATATGGAAGTGCAGCTTATTTACTAAATGTTTGAAGGAACTTTCTACTTCTAAATCTGAGATTATCATCTTATTTCAGTAGAGCTTTTGTCTTTTGTGTCTTCCTTTCCTTTATTCACCAAGATTCAAAGGGATACTTTCTCTTCCTTAGTATGACTTAACTATGGTCCTGCAGGTACCCTTACTTGATATCTACATTAAACTATCAGTATCTTCCTCTTTTATACAAGTACTGCTGATTTCTTCTTTCCAGAGAGGGCTCTGTAGTGACATTGCTGGTGTTGGATTTATATTCTCCCCATTTATTTGTGATTTAAATTTTTTGTTAATTATCTCTTAGTTGTATTATAATCATAGACTATTTCCTCTTTTTGGTCTCTGGGCTTTGGGAATATTTATATGAACATTTGCTTTGAATCTGGATGCTTTTGTTTCGAATCAAATGAATATGATTATTGGGAATCAGAGTGTCTCCTGTGACTGGGCATGGTGCATGCCTGTAATCCCAGCACTCGAGAGACTGAGGCAGAAGGATCACTGCCAGTTCAAAGCCAGGCTGGGCTACGTAGTGAGTTCAAGGCTAGCCTGAACTACATGGCAAGACTTTGTCTCCCCCCAACCCTTGCCATAAAAAGAATGTCTACTGTAAATTTTAATACTTTTGGTTAGTTGAGTTTTCTCTGCATTGAAACCTAGTTATCATATTATGTTAGCTTTTTAACCTCTCTGGTAGAGTAAGTAACCTGTCTCTGTTCTTGTGGAGCCTATTGCTCTTCCAAATAATTTTAGAATTTTTAAAAATTTTTTTTAATTTTAAAGAGAGTAGTAAAAAAAAAAAGAAAGAACAATACCAACATACCAACATTACAGACATAAACAAAACAAAGCGAGAATGTTAAAAATGATACAGGGTTTCAAAACAAAATGATAGGAATTTTTAAAATAGTGATTGTTATATTACATATTGTTATCTTTTTTAAAAACTCTGTTGGAAGCCTGATTATTATTGCATTACTTATGGAAGACTGAACAGCTCTATGATATGTCTTCCTGTTCTTGAATGTACAGTATTTCTCCATTTACTTTAGTACTCTTGCATTAAAATTTATTATTTTTCCAAAAGTCTTTTCTTTTTGTTTGATTGGTTTATTATTATTTAGATACCTCAAAGTATGAGTTACTTTTAAACTATTTTTTCAGTTTAAAGTTTTTAATTTTGTCACCAAAGCTTAGAAATGAAGTTTATTTTTTTATATTGATTTTATATGCAGCCACTTTTGTGTTTAACTTTTAATAATTTTACTATATGTCACTTTGGAACTTTTTATTGGCAAACGTATACATTTATCATGTAGATTTGTTTTGAAATACATGTATATTGTGAAATCATTAAATTGAATTAATTAGTATATGCACCATCTCACATACCACATTTTTTGTGGTATCAATATTTTCTTCATATGCCCATTAGCAGCAGCTCTCCTTAGTACATAGTGGTTCTCAAAGGAATGAATGGGGTGAATTAGAGTCAACTATTCAGATCATACACATTCTTACCAAATTATATAATGGCCATATCGCAGTTAGGAACTAAATTGTCACATTTGAGATGGCCATACGGTTAATATTTATTATAACCTTTGTCTTTACAGCTTCTGTGTAACTTGTAAAAGCTGTTTAATTTCTCTTCCCCTCTCATTTCCTCCCTAGTTTATTTGGCCTCACTGATAGGACAGAATTCATTGGTTAATAAAGGCATTTTTATTACAGTGAATTGTAACTTTTCAGTCAATCTTCTGTATTTATGTTCTTAGTAGCAAAATTTTTCTGGCTTTATTTGGGATTTATTCAGATATTCTGCTTTCCCTTGAAGATTCTGACATTGTGTTTGTGGTTCATGGGTTAGGCTGTTTGGGATTAGTATGCTTTTCTCTTCTTTTGTAACTACATATACTGTAGTAGCTCTTCAAACAGAGCTCTCTTCACTTTTCCGTTTCTCTGTAAAACTTTCCTAGCTTCTGTAATTGAGAGTATACTTTGCAGGAGTCAGTTGTTTGCTCTTAAGTATCCTGTGGTTAATCTTGTTTTAATAAAGTAAGTTGTAAAAAAATAGTAATTTAGAAATGAGGAATATATGAATGGAAAAAGAAGTTTTTATTGAAACTTGTTGAATATTTAGGAACCATTAGGTATTAATAAGTCTGTGAAGAAATTTCTGTCAAGTGGCTTGGGCAAGACTACTGTGAAAGAGTGAAGAAAAATTGAAAAGAATCTAGGCTCTGCACTCTATATAAGAAGGGGTCATGGTAAAAAAAAAAAAACAATAGCCACAAATCAAGAGATTTGCAAATGGATGTATGTTTTAAGTTCACTTATTATAGTTATGCATCTTATCTTTTGTTTCTTTGTTTTAAATTTTTAGCTAATTAGCTGTTAAGACTGATTTGATAGTAGGGTAGAGTTGATAGTAGTTTTGTTTCATGGAATATTTTTTAATATCCAAAATAACTAATTGAATTATTATTGTATTTGAGTTTTTTGTAGCAAATATGCATTATTTGTCATTGTAGTTTATTACATTTATTGCCATTACTTTTAATTTGCAGCCTTCTTGCTCCATAACTTTGTTATGCTGTTCTGTGGCCCATGTCTTATTGCTGTTAAACCTCACATACAGAAATGTTCAAGAGTTTTGTGTCTTTTTTTTAAGATGAGGAACTTCTCACATAGCTTTGGAAATTCTGAGTACTTTGTACTTAATGATATAAATTTTTTAGATCTACTTTAGAAGTATTAAGAAGATCTATTGGAAGTTCTCAGTTATTTGTATTTGATGATGTATATTTTTAGGTCTAGCTTAGAAGCATTAATATTTCCTTTGGTAATTGATAAAACAATTGTGGAAATATTTTAATTTTTTAATTTGAGAAGCTTAATTTGAGAGTACTGATGAATTAAGAATGTGAAAATAAAACTCTAAAATGTGGAAATAGCAATTATATCAAGAAGCAGCTACCACCTCTGAGGCCAAAGGAACAAAATGAGGATACTAGAATTATTGAAATTTAGAGGTTTAAGGCTGTGGGTGCACCTGTAATCCAGATGTCAGGAGACTTAGACAAGAGGTTCACTTGAGACCAAGAATTCATGACCAGCCTAAGCAGTTTGGTGAGACCCTCCCAAACTAACACCTTAGAGATCTAGAGTTCCTGATCTGGGACTCTAAGGAACGAGTAATAGCTGTCTGGTGCTGATGTCTTTGATATGTATAATGGCCTGATTCAGTGAGTTAGAAAACTGCAAAGCAGAATTAGTGCTGCTGTGGAATGAATGGTCTGCCAGAGTTGCTAAAATTTTACTGATAAGAACAAGAAACCTTCAAGAAGGATTCATTCTTAGTTTAGCTTATACTCTGTCCAGCCCCTCTAGTGACAGAGAGAAACAGGAAATCATTAGAATCAACAGTGAAATGAAGGTCTCATGAATACTACTAGGCCCAGCATCTCAAAAAAAAGTAAATGTGGAGCTGAAAGATAAGAACTTAATTACTGACTCTTAGATAACTGCTGACTGTTATTTCTTTTGTTTTTTGTGGGTTTTTTTTTTTTTTTTTTTGGCCTTTTTGTGCCCAGTACTGGTGATTGAATCCAGAGGCTTCACACTGAACTCCTACGGTGTTGGGAGCTCAGTGTGAAGGCCCAGCTATACTTTTTATTTTTTATGTACATTAAAGAAGACTGGTGTGTATAATTAAATTTAATCTCAGGACTAACATTTCTTTCACATATATTTTTCTGATATAACACCAGGATCCTTTGCATCATTTATTTGCAATCATTTATTGAAATTCAGGATCATTTTAAGTTGCTGTTCAGCTTTTTAAAATATTTATCCTTTCACTTGTATTTGTTTCCTACTAATACACTGAATGTGGTTTTAAGAGCCACTGTTCTTGTAGTTTGAATTTTATGACCTTTTAGCCTGGGTCCCTATAGAACAATCAACTACTGACATGTATCTTGACTTTTCTGAAAGTTGGACAGTATATTTTTTAATGCTTTGTTATAAATTTAAATATCCCTCAGAATTGTTCCTTTGCTCATATCAAAGGGATTAAATTTTTATGTTGTCCTTCAAACTAAAAAAGTACTTAAAAACCAACCTTAGGAAATTAATTTCCTTTTAATTAGCAGGTGCTTCTAAAGAAGGAGGTGCTGGAGCAGTTGATGAAGATGATTTTATAAAAGCTTTTACAGATGTCCCTTCTATTCAGGTAAGCTACCTGTGAAATAGTATTCCATAAATATTGCCAAAGATGTATTGCCAAGAGATAGTCATATCATTTATTTTGTCCCTTTAAAAATTATTTCCATAAATGACTACATAAATAATATACTTGACTTATTACCAGGCTATTATTTGTTAGTAATTAGATTTTTAAATGGTTTTTAAAGTAAGGTTAATGTAAAATTGATTCTCTGTTACTGAGTCACATTACATTTCAGTAAAGACTTAGTACAAATTCTTGAATTAATGAATTTTGAGCACAGAAGATTGGAGATTAGTTGGCAATAGAGATTTGAAAATCATTAATTCAATAGAAGTAATGGAAGTAGAGTGGACATATCCATAAAAGTAGTATTTTCATCTCTTAAAAATACAAATAAATTATAGCATGTGTACCATTCTTACAATTTGAGTTTTTACTCAAAATTATTTTTTATAATTTCCACAGTGTAAATACTGCAATTCTGTTTTATTTGTTGGAATTGATAGATGGCATTGTATGAGGAGACCACAGTTCATTTATTCTGTTAATGGATATTTAGTTAGTTTCTGACTCTTTACTATTTCATATCATCCTGCAATGAATGTTTGTATACATATGTTCTGGATTATGTGTAAGAATTTCTTTAGAGTAGAAGCATAGGAGTGGAACTGGCATGATTATAATCTTTTAGCTTTTAGGTGTTACTCTGTAGGATTGTTGTAATAGTTAAAATTCCTGTGAGAAAAGTATGATAATTCTCATTTCTTCACAAGCATTTACCAACACTTGATGTCACTCGATATTCTTTTCAATATGATGGATGTGATTGCTGAATGTTCTTTTGAAAATATTTTATACTGCTTTATTTGCAAACTACTTTCCACTGTATTACTTATTTACCTCTGGGAAAGAGAAAGTTATCCTTAAGCTATTTATGATCTTTCAAAGTTGTCAGAAACTTTTAAAATGTTGCTGACTTGAGTATATTTTATACCTTTACCGAAATGTTTTAAAATTTTAAGATATTTACATTTTAGATAACAGAGAAAACATAGTCTTCCCTCCTTTTGTATTTTATAGGCCCTTCATATAAGGGACAATCAATATTGTAGGAACAGTTGGTAAAACTTAGTTGGGCTTGAATATTTTTCATTGTTTGGTGTATGCTTATCAGAATGGTACCATCGTAGTATCCCTGAAGCCAACTGCTGTTCATCCTTATGGAGGAGAAAAACCTGTTTCATAGTTAACGTCTTAAATCCTTGCAACTGAACCTTTGACACCCCCGTGTGCCCTACCTACCCCACCCATAGTGCCACTCCACTAAGTGTTTTGTACTTTGCATTTTGTCCTTTGGAACATCTGTTACATCAACATAAACTCTCTAAGTCTTTTTTTTTTTTTTGAGTCCTTTCAATGTCTTTGTCTTTTTTTTTTTGGTTTTTCTCCGGTACCGGGAACCGAACTCACGACCTTGCACTTGCCAGGCAGGTGCTTTTGCCGCTGAGCTAAATCCCCAGCCCCCAATCAATGTCTTTGTCTTAATTAAAATTTGATTTTTTAAATAATTCTTTAAAGGGGAGCTGTTCATTACTCTTGGCTCATGTGCCCTTAGGAATTGATAGTAGATTAACTGTGCTTGCTTTCCATTATCACTTGTGACCATTATTCTTACACTCACTTATGTGGGGTTCATGCTCACTAACTAGCCTCATTATTGTTTCCATATACTGATCGGGACAATATTCCAGTTGTCTGGGTTTGCTTCCCAGTTCTGCCACACTAGCTGTATAACTTTGGATGAATTATCCTTTGTACTTCAAAATCCTCACCATAAATTAGGAATTACTAGTACATACACCTGGGATTATTATGAGGATTAAATATGACAGCACAGTAGTGCGTAATAGGCACATGTTAGCTCTTACTACCTGTTACCATCATCCTAAATTTTGACTTGTTCTTAATGACTTTATTTCCATTTGGATGACCCATCAATTTCTTTACCCCTTTCCCACCCTTACCTTATTCACTTAATAGTCACACATTGGATTTTGATGCCATCTGTATATAATTGCGGTTTCCAGTGGCATGAATTAAAACATCTTTCTACTGATCAGGATCTCCATGCACTTACCACATGGTTCCTCTGACTGACTACCTTTTCCATGACATTAGAATCTTCAGTCCATTGTCTTGTACTCTCAATTTCTCACTCTCACTTTTTCCCTTCTCATCTGAGCTTTGATACTAGGATTTCCTGTGGTAAAGTTGCATTAATACATTAAAATTCCATGGTTGTTTGATTTTTCAAGTACACATTTTGCAAAACTGCAACTCTGGATGATTCCCAACTTGCCCTCTCTGATTATAGCTCAGAAATGCAAGCTTTTAGAGAAAGTCACGTTAGAGCACATGATTTTTAGTGGAATTGACATAAAATGTGCCCTGTTAAGTTACCAATGTTTCTTTCCTCTGCAGCCATTAAGTTGGCTATCTCTCTCCTTTCAGTACTTCACTTTGTCTTTAACTAGACTGCATAAATTGTCACTGTCCATGGCCATATCATCTTTGCCTACATTCTTCCCCACTGTATACTCCTGTCCTGTTGCTCTAGGAACCTGGTCCTTCTCCAAAACCTGTTATTTCCTTTGTTGACACATTTGTACAACTGGTAATTTTGTGGGCTCAAGTTCTCATTTCTAGAACCTTTTTACTGTTGAATATGGCTGAGTTTCTTGATTAAAAAATCAGTCTTAGTGAGGGACCCTTGGTTCAATATCCAGCGTCACACACACACACACACACACACACACACACACGAATAATAATAATAATAAAATACCAAGGTGTCATGGTGCATGCACTTACAAAGCTGAGGCAGGAGGATCACAATTTGGGTCCCACCTGGGCAAACTATTGAGACCCTATTTCAAAAATAAAGTAACTTTTTAAATTGCTAGGTATGTATCTCAAGGGTAGAGCATTTCTGGGTTCAATCCCCTGTTCTGCCCCCTGCCAGTTATGCTGAACTCCATATTTTCTAGATATTGTCCTTTATTTTGATCTACACAGTCAGCCTTTCTAAAAGAGTTGCCTGTACTTGCTGTTTCTTTAACCACATCACATTTCCTTCATCCCACTCTCCCAGCCTCTTCCTCCATTGAAACAGGTCTTGAGACCATTAATCATCCTCACAATTCCTAAGTCAGCTGGTTTTAGTTTGTTTTCTTGGTCTTTTAACAATATCTAACACTGGTGACTGTGTCCACTGTATTGTAGTTAATATGATACAGCGTTCTTCCATTTTTTTTTTCTCCTTCATCCTTGTCCACTTTACCTGGTTCCTTTATTAGATACATCTTTCTCTACTTGGCCAAAGAGTATTAGAATTTCTTGTGGATTACCTCTGGGCCGTGTCGTCTCTCCATTTTCTTACTGAGTCACCATCTTCAAATCCATGGCTTCACTTCCCACTTTTATACAGATAACATCGAGTTTATCCCCAGTCAGAGTTCTCTTGGACACTGAGAAATTTATCCCCTGTGATTATTTGTTTGACCTCTCCTTTTCAGTGTTTTATAGGTGTCTCAAACTAAAGCTGTGTGAAATTGGAATCATAATCCAAAACTTACCATAACTTCAAAAACTTATTCTAGTATTGCTTTGTGGGGCTACTGGGGATTAAACTGAGGGGCTGTCTATCCTTGAGCTACATCTGCAACCCACCCACCCCCCTTTTTTTCCATTTGTAAAATTTTATGATGGTGTCTAAGTTACTAAATTGCCCAGACTGGGCTTAAATTTGCAATCCCTCCTGACTCAGTTTTGGTAAGTGCTGGGATTATAGGCATGTTCCATTATGCCCTGCTGTACAAGTTTCTTTATGTGAAAAACCATTACTTAATCCATTAGAAAAATCAGAAACCTAGATTCATTAGACTACAACTACTTCCTTAGTGATCTTTAAACTTCCTTTGCTTTGTATACCCCCTAAAAATGTTTAAAAAGTTATGTATTCCTTACTAAGATAAGTTTTTTGAGTTGACCCTTTTTCTCCTTATTGGTAGACAAGAAGCCCTGCTTGTATTCCAGTGCAGCATGTTACAATAAGATCAGGACAGGAGGGGTGTCTCTTTTTTTCTGGAAAATGGAAGAAAGTATATTTTGAAGGGCAGCTTAGAGGCAGGAAAGAGCTAACTTGGAAACTTCCAAGAACCCTACCTCTTCAGCCTTATCTCATGCTTTTTCCCTTTGTCTTTCTCTTTTCTCACTCTCTCTCTCACTTGAGCTATTGAAGGAAGTCAGTAAGACTGTTTGATGAAGGAACTCACATGCTATCACTGGGACTTTGCTTCTTTCCACCTTTCCTTTCTAAGTCCTCTGCAGTGTCTTCTCTCATGGTCAGGATTAGGCTGTAGCTGTTTTCAGCCTCAGTACCTTCACTATCCTCTGCCTCTTCTCCAACTGATTCTGTAGACTGTTGGGGTTCATTTTAGTTAAGCAGATTTAAGTCACGTGCCCACCTCTGAACCTCACCTGTGGTGTAGTGATACTGTACGCTAATTGTCTTGGGCGTGGGGTCCTTGGCTTTTTTTCTTTTCTCCTTTGCAGTCTTTATTCCTGCACTACAGACTTTTAGTTTCTGTGTGTCAAAGAGCCTTTGTACATGATATTTACTATTCACTGAAAGCAAATGTCTTTTCACTTTGTAAAATAATGTCCTGCTCATCCTTTAGCGCTTAGCTCTAGCTTGACTTTACTAACTAGATCGACCTTTCTACCCCTAATAAATATATTTATTTTTCCTTGTAGTACTTACTATTTGTAATTTTATAGTCTATATTGTTGATTTTTTAAAAATCTCTAATTACACTGTAAGGTTCATAAAGCAGTGACCAATTTTTTATGTCTATTTTTGCTCATCATAGTCTTCCTAATGCCTAGCATGGTATATCCCTGTCATGTGAATATTTCTTAAATGAATGAATGAATGATTGTGGTATATATCTAACTATTTAGCAAATAGTTGACTCCAGAGGAACCAAAGCATGTAGCTTGCCTGACTATAGTCTATCATAACAGAGGAGAAAAGAGGAAAAGTAATTTACATTTGCCCGTGACAATATTGTATACTAAGTATATGAATGCAGTTTTTAAGAAGTTAGGCCTATTTTTATTCTTGCACATTTGCATCTTATTTTTAAATTTTAAAGCCATATAAGAATATATTTGAGGTTATTCATGGAGCGTAATAGCAAGAGAGATAGATAACTCACAAGAAATAAAAACATTTATTTTATTGTCTATAGTGTATTCTTCATTTAAAAAATGGTGCTAGAGTGAGAAATAGCCTTACTACATGAAAGATTATTTTAAACATAGGGCATAATTTTGGTATTGTTCACAGCAAGATGTATTGTTATAGTTATGAATCTTTTCTTTAAGATCTATTCTAGTCGAGAACTTGAAGAAACCTTAAATAAAATCAGGGAAATTTTGTCAGATGACAAACATGACTGGGATCAGCGTGCCAATGCAGTAAGTTTTTTATTTTTCTCGTTTCTAATGTTTCTCTTAAGAAATATGGAAATTCAGTAGTAATCAGATAGTCTGATAGGCAATATTTCTTTCTGGAAAACACATTGCAATAAAGGGCATTTTCTGATTTAGGGTCAGGTTTGTTTGTTTGTTTCTTATTTTGCCATTCAGGTGGTGCCTGTTCAACCCATTTGGGAGCCTTTTCATTTATCCTGTTTGTTGACTGACTAGAAAGTGTGAGCTTGGCCTGCCTGTGTAGTTACATAGTTGCTTATTAGCATCATCTTCGAATCATAGAAGATTTACCAGTAAAACAGTTCATTTTTCATAGAATCTCAATATTTGCATAGAATTGACATAATTTCACAACACTTTGTGTCCATTTATCTAGCTTTTTCTTAATCATGAGTGTGATGAGTATTTTCTACTCATGATTTAAAAGAATAAACAGGTTAAGAATATTTTATTTATCCTGTTACTTGAAGAAAATATTTGATAATATTTTAAATAATGTTTTTATTTACAGCAGACTATATATTTTATTTTGTTTTTCAAGTTTGTCAAATTTACATGACATGCTAAATGAGTACCTCAGAGTTCATTTGCAAGAAGGCAGAGAAAGTTTTTTGTTTCAAGGGCCACTTCTGCTCTTATAGCTTCTGGTCTGGCCAGTCATAAAAATCAAATCAAATAGGGCATTTTGACAGACATGTTTTTGTGACTCTATATACACAAGGTCATTTTTCATCTTCTCCATGTTGGAAATTCTGCATATCTTAAAATGTTTAACAAAGAATATTTTTAACAGAAAAAAGATACTGCTCCAGATTTGTTAAATATGTTTCATGTTCTTCGGTTCTGAGACAAGTCCTAGAGTATATTCTTTCCTATGTATATACAGTGAAACATAAATGATAAAATAAGCAGTTTCTCCTGTCTCTGATCCCTTTTATAAAAATGAGATCATACTAGCTATCTTACTTAGTAACTTGCTTTTTTTTTCCTTAAAAAAATATCTATTCAGTACATCTGGTATAGATGTCAGATATGTAATTGTTGCTTAGATATTTATTGAATGCACACCAGTATGTATATATTTTCTTCAGCTCAATATCTGTACGGGTAATTTATTAAACTATTTTCAATTTGATGATTTAAAGTTGTTTTTTATTTATTTTCATTTTAACAGTGTGATAAATGTCCTTGCATACATTTGTAACAATAGTGTATAGGTTAGATTCTAAAGTGTAGGTTGTTGGGTAAAGAATAGGTACAGTTTTATTTTAGGTGCAACCAAAATATTTTGAAGAAAGATTTTAGTAACTTATGATTTTATTTGCATTTTTTGAGAACATGTTTTCTGTCTAGTACTGTATTCTATCTAGTTTTACAAATTATTTGTCCCTCTCATGAGGGGAAATAGTGTGTATTTCTTATCATTTGGAATGTGCCTGTCACTGTTTTCATATTCACATCTTTAATCCATCTAATTTAACTTCAAAGATAGGTCTATTTTAAAACTTAGAAAATCTGAGTTAAATGTGATATTATGTATAATGAGCATGTTAAATAAACTTAGTTTCTGAATATGCTTGAGCAAGATGTGTACCTGTATCTCTTTTGAAAATTTATTGTTTATGCTTTTGTTTTTATTTGAAAACCTTTAGCAGTTATATACTAAGATGTTTTATTGGAAACATTTAACAGCTATATTTGTTTAGCATTTTAGCATTTTAGCAAACTATATTTGTTTACCTTTAGCATTATGTTTTAGTAAGTAATGTAGATATGTAATATGTATCTAGGGACAGAGAGAGAGCAACCATTTGCTTCACAAAGTGTGATAACATTAACGTATAGACATAATGATGCACCATCATTTTGATATTGTACTTTGTTGTACAACAAAACTAAAAATACAAAACTTATTTTGGGACAGAGTTTCTAAAATTGGCCCCCTTAAAATTAGGTTGCCTTAGTAGATAACGGTGATGGTTGTACAACATTGTGAATGTACTTAATGCCACTAGAGTGTATACCTTAACCTAATTAAATGGTAAATTCTGTGTTAATTATGTTTATCATAATTTTAAAGACTGTCTCAAAACTTTAACTCATGTATATTATATATATCATATATACCTATATATTATATATTATACCTACCTATATTTATACCTATTTGTACTCTATACCTATAAGTCTGTACTCTTCTTAGGTTTTTTGTTTATTTACAAAATACACTTAGTGCTAAACATAATGACATATAAATGTTGTATTTTTTGAATTTGAGTATGATTTTATTTTTTTTATTTTTTTTATTTTTTTTTTGGTTTTTCTCCGGTACCAGGAACCGAACTCACGACCTTGCGCTTGCCAGGCAGGCGCTTTTGCCGCTGAGCTAAATCCCCAGCCCCTTGAGTATGGTTTTTAGGTTGCATTCTTTTTCTTTTTCACTGCACCTTTTATGTCAGTAATGAAAATTCTCTTTATGTTAGCTTAAGAAAATTCGATCACTGCTCGTTGCTGGAGCTGCACAGTATGATTGCTTTTTCCAACATTTACGCTTGTTGGATGGAGCACTTAAACTATCAGCTAAGGATCTTAGATCCCAAGTGGTTCGAGAAGCTTGCATTACTGTAGCGTAAGTATGTTTCTTTCATGATAATTATTTTTTATGAATAAATATCGTATTCTTCGATTTAGCAGTACTAAGCAAAGTGGTAACAGGATAACCCCAAAAAAGCACATATGTTTCAAAAATAAATTTTTTATATATAAAGATTTGTGTGATTATAAAAAAATCTTTCATAACTTTCTACCATAAGCCAGTGATGGCAAACCTTTTAGCACTTTCAGTGATACAAATAGCCCGCTGCAGCACACGTCATAGGTTTGCCACTGCTGGTCAGAGTAGATTTTTAATCAACTTTGTCAGTTTAAGAAGAAAATGAATGGATTTAGAAACTAACTATATTCACGTTTCTCGTTACTAATTTAGTTATTACATACTCTTTCTGATATTTTAGCAAATTATTTGGGAATGGTAACATGCATCATTAACTTATGAAAATCTAAGTGTTTATAGTCTTCTACAATATAAGTATGGTAAAATACTTAAATTCCATTCACCAGTAGCCCAACCTCTAAATACTACTGTTGTATATGTTCTCATGTAAGCATTCCTTTGAAGATAGAGAACAGCTGTCTTCAGAGAAAAATGAAGGGTACCTATTACCAATATTGTATTGTATTGAAAGTAGTACTATAGTATTGCATTGAATGTTCTGAGTCGGAACAGAAAAGGGTGAGCACAATAAAATCTATGAGGATTGCAGGGAACAGAACTCCCATTATTAACAGATGATGTAATTACGCATACAAAAAAGCCACAAGGGAATCTACAGATGATTTATTATAATTGAGGAACTTTGGCAAAATTGCAAGGTATGTCAGTATGCCAGAATGATCTAGTAAGTCTAGATACACAAAACCATAAAATGTAATCTTGAAAAATAAAACAGGACTAGAAAACTAGACAAAATACATAACAAGTGTTTCCAAATAATACATAGTGGAATACATACTATGGTTGTCACCAAACTTTGACCTGTGGTAGCACTTTGGACCATGGAGAAACACGGGAAACCTGAGCAGAGCAAGGCAGGCTTACTGAGTTAAGGACATAGAGATTAGAACTTAAGAAGGCTGAGGTGACCAAAATCTCCACCACAGAATACTGGAGAAAAGAGAGATACACAGAAAAAGAGCTACAGATATCTGTATGATCCCATGAATCTTGCACACTGGTGTATGAAAAGTGTAACCCCTTGAGAAGGAGAAAGAACCACTGCCTGGGAGCTATAAACAATTCCCAGAGCTCATTTAGGGCTGAGAGAGGTTCCAGATCTGACTATCCAAAATGGACAAACCTTGGCTATGGCATTCAGCGGAGACCCCAGAAGGACATCGTGTAGGAGGAATAATACTAATCCAGTTTTGAAGTATAAGACTCCTCTAGACCCCATCTCCCCCACCAAACATAAAAATTAAGCTGATTCCCCGGAATATTCACTCCCTGCCCAGACAGAACTCACACTCTAAAGAATACTACAGCCGGGCCTGGTGGCACATGCCTGTAATCCCAGCACTCTGGAGGCTGAGTCAGGAGGATCATTGCGAGTTTGAGGCCGGCCTGGGCTACAAAGTGAGCTCAAGGCCAGCCTGAACTGCACAGCGAGACCCTGTCTCAAAAAGACAAAAAAACAACAACCCTATAACTTCCAGGCACAAGTGGCACTTCCCTGTTATTTTGACTAGAGATTCCTTTTGGCCTGTGAATTGGGACATGGGAAAATCATAACTGAACATTAAAAAATAGGTCTGAGTCTGAGAACCTCCCTTAATCAGAAACCTGGATTTTGGGAACTAACTCTATCCCAACCATATATTTTAAGTAAGATACACCGTAATTATATTGAAATTGACTAATACTGCGAGCTTTGTCAGAACTGTGATTGCAGCATCCTTCCTGTGTGTGTGTTTGTATGCACACACATGTGTGTGCGTGTGTGTGTGTATTTATGTAAAGTAGGGTCTTGCTATGTGCTAGTTCAGGCTGGCCTTGAACTCACTGTGTTGCGCATGTTGGCCTCAAACTCAAGGCAATCCTACAGCCTCAGCCTCCTGAGTGTTGGTGTTAGAGACATGCGCTACCACACCCAGCTCTTCCTAAATGTTTTAACTAAAATCATACAAATAATCATACTATTAATCATACTGTTTAACTACAAATTTGGAAAAAGAAAACAGTTGCCCTTAAGATCACCCTACTATCATATGATAGAATTATATTTTCAATCATGAATTGTGAAGCCCTACCCCAGCAATATCAGGGAGTATTTGTGATAAGAAAAGTGTCAAATTTCATCATTGGGTTAGCCAGTAAAAGGATGATAAAATGAAGGATATATATAGTATTTCATTATTCTTCTACCACTAGAACTAATTAAAATAAATTTCTTGAGTTAATTCAGTTAGAGTATTCTAAAAATATATCGTTCTACCTATATTTAATATTAAACTATTAAAAATACATTTTGTCTTCCTTTGTAGCCATCTTTCAACAGTTTTGGGAAACAAGTTTGACCATGGCGCTGAAGCTATTGTACCTACACTTTTTAACCTTGTCCCCAATAGTGCAAAAGTCATGGCAACTTCTGGATGTGCAGCAATCAGATTCATCATTCGGGTAGGTTTGTCTCCCTTTCCCACCCTCAGTATACTTAAGTAAGTCATTTGTATTTTTTAACCCCAAAGGAAGAAATGCTTTTGAATTATTTTTCTGATAATAAAAGCAACATATGGTCATTATAAATGTAAAAAATACAAAAGATTACAAAATAAAAATGCTTGAATATGGAATATAATACATGTATGTGTGTACATATATATGTACATATACATGTGTGTAATCACAGATGTCACAGACAGCAGTAAATGCACAGGCAAAGTCATAATATTTCTCATCATAATTTGAGGATAGTCAGAGTAGAATTCAAAACACTAGTCTCTTCCCTTGAAGTTTGCTGTTCTATTACTGATCACTCTATCCATTTAGGTTATTCTTTTCCATATTTCTAATTTGTACCTTTATAAATGTTTTAGTATTTGTTTATACCTACATAAGTACTTTTTAGTCAGAGTTTTTAACTGTTGTCACCTTAAAATATTTTTCTCATTTTCTATTTGCTGTTCATTGTGCTTTTTACCCATTTCTTTTTTGTTGTTGTTACTCAGAAGTTCCTTATTCTTTGTCAGTGTCAGGAACAAAACCTTTGTTGTTTAATCCTCTGTCTCTTTTAAAAAGTGTATATATGTACCTTATTTATGTCTTTTTTCCCCCTTAACCAGTGAATCACATTTTAACAAAGCATATTTTAATTTTCACTGACTGGAATTGTAGTTATCCTCTCCTTTTCCATTTTTTAGTTGCTTTGGGTCGTTCTTGTTTTGTTTTTGTGTTTTTCAGTTTTCATCTTTGCATATTTTGAAACAATTTTTTTTTTTCTTTTTACCTTACTGAACTAAAAAATTTGACTGCGAGCAGGGTGTGGTGGCACACTTTTGTAATTCTGGCACTTGGGAGGCTCAGGCAGGAGGGTTGCTGCAAGTTTGAAGCCAGTCTGAGCTACATAGCAAGACCTTGTCTCAAAAAACAAAACTTGATTTTTGAACTTTAGATATACTTCTCTTATCCTACAAAATTGTTTTCTTAACTCTTTGATGTTTTTAGGAAATGAGATATTATTTGATTCTTTTATAGCAAAACAGCAACAAAACAACCCTTCAAATGCTTGTTCCATAGTTCCTTAGTGTGAGGAGTTTCCTGTAGAAGTTCTGGTTTTTCTTTCATTAATATTACTCCTATACAGGTGATAAGGATTTCTGATTAGAATGAATCATCCTTAAATATTTTATTTCCTTAAATATTTTATTGTTCATGAATCATTTCTTTACTTGGACTCCGTCTTATTTGCTCAGGTTTTCCATCTTTTATATAGTTTCTGACATCCTCAATATCATTTATCATTTCTTGGGTAATTTCCTATTCCTTTGTCTAGTTATACGTGTTCTTAGGAAAATTTAAATTTTGTTTGACAGTGTTCATTTTGCCATTCTCAGGCTTTGTACTTTGTTTTTAAATTGCTCATTTTATATAAAATGTTCTCATGTTATTTATTTTTTGTTATTTATATGTTATCACCTTTACAAAAATAAAAATTAAATAGGTTTTTAAAAAATTATCTCCTGTTTTCTGTTTGATTTGTTTCTCAGAGGACTACTTTAGATTGCTTTCCTTTTAACTTTAGAGAACTTTTTTTTAGTTGTCAGCTTAAATTAATAAAGTCTAAATTATTCTGACTTGGTATGTGGTTGGATGTTTTCATCTGTAGTTGTAAGGGTAACTTCTTCCCAAATGTAATATAGTAGTATTTAGGTTAGTACTCTCTCTGCATCTTTGCTACTGTCATGAATGTGATTAGTCTAGCAGTAGGATTTTGGGAATTTTGGGGAGGGGGATTTATGAGCAGAAAGGAGGGTAGTGGTAATGGTAGGTGAGATCTGCTATATAGTATAGTGTGGCTGGGGGTTCTGCATGTGCTTTATCGCCGTAGTAATGTGTGGGCAATGGGCTCTTTTGGATGTGATAGGGAGCAGGTCCTCATCACCCTTCCATACTGAATGTAGCAGTTGGATAATTAATTGGTCTGCACACACTCTTGCATTAATCTCATCTTGAACAGCTTCAGGTCTATTGGGAATTAACTTAACTTCTCTTATTGCTGAAAACAAGTTTTTCCCATTTTGGTTTAGCTGTGGCAGACACTGATGTCTTGTACACATTTTCCTTCAATGAAAGACTTGTCTCCTTAAAGCTGGGAACATTATTGGTAGACAGTCTTCAGTTCCAGTCTCTTTAAGGATTGCTTCAACTTCATAGAGCTGCCTTTTCCATGGTCTCCATCCCTCCTAATATGGTCACAATCCAGTAACTGATGTGGAAATATAAAGGTTTGACCATCTTGGACCAATTTAAGAGTACTCTAAAGGATTCTTTTAGCTCCACAGCTCCCTGGTGGCTTTGGACGAAGATATTCTGGTTCTTATCACAGTTCATCATCTTCCTTTGTTCATTCATTTTCTTCTCCTCCCTTCCATAGATAGTGATCCCAAGGATATTCTTAGTAAGTATTTTGTGTACTAAACTTTATCTCAGAGCTTGCTTCTTCAGTGACCCGCCTATACCATTAGCTTGGAAGAAAAATAGAAGATTTAAGGTATTAGATATACATGTTTAGATTACTGTTTTATTCTGTATGGATTATGAACTTCTTAGTGTATGCTTCACTAAAGAAGAGCAAAAGAATTACTAATTGAAGTCAGAAGGTTGTATCTGTTGAACTTCTGCTTGAATTCTAGGGAGGCATGGCTTAGCTAGAATAAAGTTTTGTTAAAAATCACCATTTCAGAATGTATTTCCAATGGTAAGGGATATAGATTTCTGATTATGTGCTCGAATGACACACGCTTATATTTTCTGCCAGCAGTAGGCATGGCACTTCAGAAAATATGATTGATTCATGCCCAGTCCCTCTTATGCTCCCTGCCTCCTAAACTACACTGGCCTAATAGTTCTCTGCAGTCCTACGATTAATTTGTCATTGCTCTATATGTTACTACATTCACAAATGTCCTTTAGAAATTACCTGGTCACTACTATTTTCTCAATTTCTCTCAAAATCTGATTTGTGGTTTTTGTCCTATTGGAACATAACTACTTGAATATAAAGCAAACAGAAGAAAGGAGTACATGAAGTTCACAGTATTTTTCATCCTTTTCTGAAACATCTTTTACAGCATACCCATGTACCCAGACTTATCCCTTTAATAACAAGCAATTGCACATCAAAATCAGTTCCTGTGAGGAGGTAAGTTTTGGGGGAAAAAATTTTAGTGTAACTTTACTATTGAATAATGTTCAAGTCTTAGTTTGTTGTAAAAATTTTCATTAATTTCTTAAAGTTACCTTGGGATAAAATATAAAGGTTTTCTTTTAATATAAGGGATGAGACAATTCTTTTGACTACTTATATTTCTCAGTTTTTATCACATTAAGTTTTAGTTTATCACAGCTGCTGGTTGCCTTGTTTTTCAGAGTGTAGAGACAGTTTTTCAGAGTGTAGAGACAGACTGGGCTAGAGTTTTTAAACTGCCACTGACTGAATCTGTCACCTTAAGCGACTTTGTAACTGCTGTGAACTTCAGTGTCTGTATATGTCAATAGGCTAATGATGGCAAGCCCATAAAATGTGAGAAATAAATGAGATACACATTAGTAAAACTTAACCTAGTATTTGAAACAGGCTAAATAGTGAAATCAAGGCTGTCAGTCAGTCTTTCTCTTTTTCTTTATGATTTCTACAATTTTTAATATTATAGGCAGGCCCTTTAAATGTTTTGATAAATATCTATAAGAAAGGCAGGCCATTTAAATGTTTTGATAAATGTATTTAAGTATTTTGAATGATATATAAAAGCTGAGTAAGACATTATTATTGTATTTCCTTTAAGTGGTTCAGAGTTTAGCAACGGTTGTTCAGTCACATCTCATTTCAACAGTCAGCATACAATACAGGTTATATCTGGCCTACAAGTTACTTTTGTAAAACCTATCAGCTAAGAATATTTTTCATACTTTAAAGGGTGGTTTTAAAAAGGGAGTGGAGAGCTGGGTGTGGTGGTGCATGCCTGTAAGCCCAGCACTTGAGAGGCTGAGGCAGAAGAATTGCTGTGAGTTCAAGGCCAGCCTCATCTACATAGCAAGACTCTGCCTCAAAAAATAAAAAAATAAAAATGGGAAAAATATGACATAGAGACTGCCTGGTTCATAAAGCCTAAAATATTTATTTTCTGGCCCTGTGTGGAAAGGTTTACTGATCTAATACTGTAAAAATAGTAGTTGGAGAAATAGAAATATAATAGAGAAGCGAGGATGAGGAAATGCATCCTGGAATTGCCTTAAAATGTGGAATAATCCGTTAACTCTGGGGGAAGTGAGTGGGATATAGTCTAAGCCCAGATACAAAGCTATTCTGCATGCTGCACAGGATGGGCAGCTGAGGCCAGAACATGTGATCAATAGGTTTCAGTGGGAAAACAGCCTGTTGAGAAGGTGGGGTTGGGAGTAAAGGAAAGTCATACTGTGAGGGCGTTGACTGTCATAAAGAGTAATTTTGACATTGCTACTTAGATAGTAGGAGTATTGACCAAAATTAAGGACTTTTCATGAGAGGTTGTCATCCAAGCCTAGTTTTTACCCCAGCTCTGAACAGTGATTGAAAAGGAAAATGAGAAGCATTGATTTAAGTAGGAGCTGTTATAATTCATGTAAGAGAAAGGCATAGTTTGAACTCTACCTGTGCTTGTGTTTAGTAATTGAAGGAGATTTTATTTAGTAAATTCAAGATACATTTTATGTGTAGAAATGATATTTGATAAGTGGGTATGGATGAGATGGTGTCTGAGGCTTCAAATAGTGAGCTCTAGATTCAAATGTTAGGGTTTTTAAGTCTCAGTTCTATCACTTTGAGCTAATTAATTTAATCTTCCTGTTTCTTGATTCCTGATGTGTATGATATGGGCTAAAAGAATGGATTTGAAGCCAGGTGTGGTGGCACATTCCTGTAACCCCAGGTACTCGGGAGGCTGAGGTAGGATTGCAAGTTGGAGGCTAGCCTGGGCAACTTAGTAAGACCCTGTCTCAAAAAAATAAAAAGGGATAGGGGTATAGCTTAGAGATAGAGCGCTTACCTGGCATGCACAGCCCTAGATTAAATGCCCAGTATCACGTCCAGAAGAAAAAAAAAAAGAAGAAGAAGAATGGATTTGAGAAGGTAGAATGTATTTAATCCTTTATATGTAGTATTTGATGTGAAATTATTGCTGATGCGTAGTTATCCCTAACTGATCAGATCTTCAATTTAACAGCTGAGGCAAAGAACCAGTACTACTGCTAATAGGACTAGATATGAGAATTTAATCTCATAGTACACATGAGAGTTATATCTGATAGTCAGGGCTGGGTAATAAAGATAGTGTTGCTGAAGTGAAAAGACTATCAAAGAGCAATAGGCCAAAATTAGCACCAACCAGATGAACAGCTATTTAAAGGTAAGTGCAGAAAAAGTGTCAATAAAAGAAGGAAAAAAAACAAAGGTATACTATCACCCAAGGAAGAAGAGCACAAGAATGAAATATTTGAAGTTGACAACTAGAGGGCTTAGGAGAAAATGTATATAAACTTGATTTAAAGTCATATAAGGAGATATTTAAGATCTTAATCATCATGTCTTTCTCATCGTATATCTTTGGTGTCTAGTGAATAGTAAATATTTAATAATTTTTCTAATTAATGAAGTTTGTTAAATTTTACATTTAACAAAAATTTTAAAGTTAAAATTATGAGGAATTCTTAAAGTATTTGAACTATTTATCATAGGAATAATTGGATCCTTCAAATAAGGTATTCCATAGTTCAGATATCTAAAATGGGTCTTATGCTTTCAGGGGACAAAGTACAGTATTAAGAGTGTTAATGTGTCTCTAAATCCATTAAGTTATTCATTTAACTTTTATTTTTCAGACGTTCATTTGAATTTTTAGATTTGTTATTACAAGAATGGCAGACACATTCTTTGGAAAGGTATGTATTACCTCTTTCTCCTTCCTCTTCCTCTTCTCCCTCCCTCCCCATTTGTCGCTGATTGTTTAGAAGCTGATGGTATTAGTTTTATATTTTGACTTAAAGATTACTTATTTGGGTTTTTTGTTAAAGCTGTGGTATTGTGCTCTTATTACTTATTGCAGCTATGATTTGTGTGATTTTCTTCTTTTTATAGTGGGTGAAGGTCCCTTAAGTAGAATATATAAGATACTCCAAGAGGAACTGAACAAAAATTTTAAAATGTATCTTTAGTAATTACATGTGGAATTGGTTTTGTGAACTGCAGTCAGTCATCTAATGAATGGTTTAAGACAGAGCGTAGAAAGAACTTGCCATTAGAGGAAAGTTTTTTTAAAAAAAAAATATATTTTGGAAAGTTTCTGTGTACCAGCTGTCAGGTGTCATTGGTCAGGTAATGTGCTGGGCACTTTCTAATGTACTCTGAGATGAAGGAAGGGAAAATGTGGGCAGCTAGATGGTCACTGGCTATTTACATGGCTGTGTCTCTTACTATTTTCAAGTTTGAAGCTTCAGAGATAGCCTTCATTTATATTGAGTATGTTAATTTCCTATTTTCATGGTAATTATTAAATCTCTTCAATTTATTTTTTAAAAAATAGAATTTGTTGTTTACACATGAAATAATTCCAGGTCTTAAATTCTTGTTGGCATTGATTATTCAACTTAGATCGTTTCATATCATACTCTTAGCAAGTCATTTTCTACAGTGCTGAGTTAGTGAACTACATAGAAAAAGTTTTCCCTCTGATTCATTAGAATATCAAATTTAGATAGTATATATATTATTTTGGTTTTGTAAAAAAATTATTTTCAGATTTACAGTGATAAGGTTACTAGAAGACAATCACATGTGAATGAAATATTTGGGGAAGATTATTAGAAAATCCTGCAATCTTCGATTTATTATTGTACACTAATAGTTTTACATCTCTTACCCCTTTGTGATTGCTGTGAAAGTTAAGTATCATTTGTGGTAAAAAAAATATACAGCTCTATATATGAATCTTGATATATTTTATAGACATGCAGCTGTCTTGGTTGAAACTATTAAGAAGGGAATTCATGATGCTGATGCTGAGGCCAGAGTGGAGGCAAGAAAGTAAGTCTGTAGTATACTTTTGTGAGAGTTAAAAAGACATTGATCAGTTTTTAAAAGGAATTATATAGAGAAAATGAAAACATCAGAGATGTCCCATGTCCTATACTTGCTGAGCTCTTTAGTAACATTAACATTAATTTTACCCATTGTATCTATACTAGACATCTAACAACCTGCTTCAAATTGTCATTTGTGTAATCATCAGTATTCTTATTCCATCGTAATCTATTTACTTTTATTGTAAACAGAAGCAACTGTCATTTATTGATATGTATTGGGTATCTGCTGTTGAGTGAGGCACTTGTTATACATTATTTTCTAATTCTTAAAGTGATTTTACAAAGGTGGCTTTACTTTCATAGATGGCAGCTGAAGATTTGGGGGTTTCCTCAAGGCCTGATAAAATATAAGTGGCACAGCCAGGTTTTGAACTGAGATCACTTTTTTAAAAGCCTGCAGTCAGCTAGTGGGAAATATACAGCTCTATACATGAATCTTGATATATTTTATAGACATGCAGCTGTCTTGGTTGAAACTATTAAGAAGGGAAGTGTGAAACTATTAAGAAGGGAAGGCTAGTGTGATAGTCACACCTGTAATCTAGCACTTGGGAGGAAGAGGCAGGAGGACTGCAAGTTTGAGTCTACCTTGGCAACTTAGACCCTGTCTGTGAATGAATGAGTGAATGAATGATTGAATGACTGAATGATGCTAGGATGTAGTAAAGTGTGAAGACCTGGGTTTGATTCACAGTACTACAAAAAAGAAAAAAAAAAGACCTGTGGTTTTTCCACTGGAACATGGGTAATTTAAAAAGCATTCACCTGCCACATAGTGAATATATGAAAAAATGGTGAGTTCATCTTTATCTTTCTTAAATGTGCATATTTTACTGATAAAGTCTAATGTAAAAACACTATTACTTTATGTGCTTTTCTTCCTTTTCTTTTTTTTTTTCTCTTTCTTTTTGCAGGACATATATGGGTCTTAGAAACCACTTCCCAGGGGAAGCTGAAACGTTATATAATTCCCTTGAGCCGTCCTATCAAAAAAGTCTTCAAACTTACTTAAAGAGTTCTGGCAGTGTAGCATCTCTTCCACAATCAGACAGATCTTCGTCTAGCTCACAAGAAAGTCTCAAGTAAGGTCATACAAGTGATAATCACTGAACTATTCTCAATACCCCAAAGTTTCTTGAATCTTTAAATTCTTTTTTTTTTTTTTTTTAATTTTAAAGAGAAGAGAGAAAAGAACAAAAACAAAATAACAAAAACAAAAATGATACAGAATTCCATAAAAAGATGATAGGAAATTAGTTGGCTCTGCTTAGTTTTCACCTAAAGCTTTGAAAAAAGTGGTAATTCACATTACTTTCTTTGGATTGTTATCTCAAGAGTTAGATTACATGCTAGCCTAACTACTTCTCTTTGGGTAGAGTTTGATAATCCATGTTTTGTTGCTTCATGTTCATGTCTGTAGAGTCTGGGAAGCACTACTGCTCCACTACTTTCCTTTCTGTCCTTTTATACAGCTTATCAAGAGGGCAAAATGATTTAGTGTCTCACTGCTCTGTAACTCTCACCTCATCGTGACATCATTTGCTACTTCAAATCCGTATTGTTTTGGCAGTGGTAACCGTGTCTTCTATTGCTCCAGATCTGTGAGATTCTAAAATTTCTCATGCCTTTTCTGCTTCCTAACAGTGGCCCTCTGTCTACCTTCATAACCTCTTGCCCTGTGCCCTGTATCTGCAGATTCCCTTAGGGAGGAGCAACTCACAAAATGTCCATTTAAAGTCTGTAATTTTTTTCTCTTTGGAACCAACTGCCCTTCCCTGCCCCCACTAAGATTCCTGGTTACCTTGCAGTTCAGTGCAAAACTTGGATTAGGGGGAGGCAAGTGAGGCACCTAGGATGCAGAATTTACAGGGGTACTCACAAGGCAGTGTGGATATTAAAGTTCAGTTTCTTACAGTTTTAAAAATAAAAGTAGATGATATCTGATTTCAGAAAAATTACAGTAGAAGTAATGTTATATCTGAACTTCTGTTTGAATTTTTATTTGAACTTCTATCTAAACTTGTATTTTAAATTTGTAATAAATTACTCACCTCAGATGAGTCCTGCATTGTTTTTTTCCTTTCTTGCTTTTGGTTGTTCTTTATTTACTTTGTTTAAACTTTAAAGACCATATGAATCACCTGACAATAATGTTAAAATTCAGAATCTGAATCAGTAGTTTTAGGGTTGGACCTGAGTATTCACACTTTGTGTACACTCTAGTGTAATGTCAGTGCTATTTGTTCATAGACTGACCATACCTTGAATAGCAAAGAAGATATTTTGTTTCACTCTAGTATAACTTCTTTAAAATAAACTGCTTTAAACCTTGTGAACATTGAAGTAGTCTACCTTAATATAGAAGGATAGTAGTTTTTGAGAATAGTTATAAAAAATAATATAATGTGAGGCTTTAATAACCACTGTGAAATTTACCATTATAATAATGTAACTTAAAGAATATCTTTCTAGGGGCTGAGGATATAACTCAGCAGCATAAGCACCTGCCTGGCAAGTGCAAGGTCCTGAGTTTGATTCCCGGTACCCAAAAAAGAGAATATCTTTCTATAGACTGTCATTAATTAATCTCTCTGGGAATTTTGCTTCTCTTTTTCCATGACCTTTTAAGCATATACTTTCTGGTTATATATCTTTATCTACGGGCTGCAGAGTACTATTGTAATTAAGTATAGTTTTAAAAAGTTAAAGTAGGTGGTGGGCTCTTTGAAGTGATAAAAGATGCTTTGCTACATTCTCTAATCGTGCATGTTATCCTCAGCAGTAGTTCTTAGCCTTGTTTTTGTTGCCCCACACAATAACAGTAGTACTGTGGCTGGAGAGTGTGTTAACTACATGAGAATTGCATGAATTTGCTAATGGCCACAACCATTATGACTTAGGTGAGAGAGACGTTGGTTATGCTGAGTTGCCTAGTAATGGCACTACCTCTTTTTCTTTCTAAGGAAAATATCTGAAGACATAAGTGGTTGATTGTGCTAACATTAAGTCCTCCCAATGGGCAACATGATGTGCGCTGAGTACAGTGAATAAAAGCAACCCAGTCTTACCCTAGAGTTTACCATCTTTATCCATTACCAGTTACTTTATTTTCGCTTATAGCTAATTGAGAGACCACTAATATTTGATATGTACTTGAGAGCTACTGTTCTAAGGTGATTTTTAAAAGAAAAATTAAAACTAGAAGTTTCTCAACTGTTCAGGAAACTAGTATTGGTAAATTAAGTCTTCTGACTAAAAGCATTTTTTTTTTACCTTGCAGTCGCCCTTTTTCTTCCAAATGGTCTACGGCAAATCCATCAGCTGTGGCTGGAAGAGGTAATTGCCTTTTAAAGTAAAAATTATAACTTATTTTATTTCTAACCAATAGCCTTTAAACTATATTGATGTGTCTGGGCAAGGTGACACATACCTGTAAACCTACCATTTGGAGGCTGAGGCAGAAGGACTGCTATGAGTTCAAGGCCAGCCTGGGCTACAAAGTGAGTTCAAGGCCAACCTGAACTGCATAGTGAAACTGTCTCTCAAAAAGACAAAAAAAGGAAAAACTATATTGATGTGGTACACAGTGAGAAAATCATTATCGTGACCCAATGCTATACATTTATAATACAGATACACACACACACACACACACACACACACAGAGCCAGGAAGTTCTGTGAAGCACTTCTCTTACATATGATGCACTCTTATTCTGTTTCATTCCTTGCACATGCTAGTCATGAACTACTCCACTGATCTCACTACCTATTCATGGGTCATGACTTAGTTTGTAGAACTTATTAAAACTGAAAAACTAAATTTCAGAAATTTAATAACTTAACTTGCATTACCTAAGAGTGGCAGAACCTCCATTACTTTCTTGAGTATCCCTACACCAGGACTAGTTTTTCTTGCCTTTTTCTGATAGTAAAGAGAAAATGCTGCTGTTATTTATCTTAGAGTACTTCATTTCCATAAGTCATTCATGAGCATCCTTCATCTCCCAAACAATTCTATGAATTTTACAGTCAAAATGGGTAATTTCTCCCAGTAGAAGATGAAAGTGAGACAAAAATATTGAAAATTGCAGACAATCGTGGGTGCGGTGGTGCATGCCTGTAGTCTCACCACTCAGGAGGCTGAGGCAAAAGGATCATTGTGAGTTCAAGGCCATCCTGAACTACATAGCCTGCCACTATGTCAAAAACAAAGAAGGAAAATTGCCCACAAAACTTAGTTGTTGCCAGGCGTGGTGGCGCACACCTGTAATCCCAGCACTTGGGGGACTGAGGCGGGAGGATAGTTGCAAGTTCGAAACCAGTCTACGCTACAGAGAGAGGTCAAGGGCAGCCTGAACTGCAAGGTGAGACCCTGTCTCAAAAAGACCAAGAAAAAAAAAGATTGAAACTGAGGCATTCTGACTTTATACTGCCCATTTGATCCCTGCTTCATGTCATCATGGATTGTGAATGATATGTCATCATGGATTATTTATTGACTGGTTCATGTTTGTGTAAGTTTGACACGGTTTGCAATGATTTCAATAACATAGGTTACCTTTGTCTTATTTTTTCATAGTATCAGCGAGCAGCAACAAAGCCAGTTCACTTCCAGGAAGCCTGCAGCGTTCACGAAGTGACATTGATGTGAATGCTGCTGCTGGTGCCAAGGCGCATCATGCAGCCGGACAGTCAGTGCGAAGTGGGCGGCTGGGTGCAGGGGCCCTGAATCCAGGTTCCTATGCATCGCTTGGTAAGAAAGCTAATTGTGGGAAATTGTACAGTGTTCTTTCCTTGGTCTCAGTGAAGACAAAGTAATATGTCATCATTTTTAATTCACTCTTGCTAATTAAGGATAATTCATATCTTAAAATACAATTCTGTACTGGAGGCAGAGTTCTGAACTGTATGAGCTACCTTGTTTCCACTTTCCCCCTTGTCTTCTTCCTTGCCACCCTGTCAGTGAAGTAGTTCTTCACTCCATGATTGCCCATAGAACTTTTATAACTCTACTCTCCTGCCACGTCTAACCACTGATTACTAAGGGAGTTTGGGAAGGGTATTGGCCCTATAATCAATTTCTGTTTTATGTCTACTAATTATTCCCTTAAGAAGAGTTTAAAGCCTTTGAGGATCTGGGAGAATTCCAGAGTTCTTATGTGTGTAATCAGAGTTGAAACAAATCCTAAAAGCTATTCAGAGCTTGATTGTTTATGTTTCATGTCCATTGGTTTAAAAGTTTGAGTTTGGTTAGCCATAGTGCTTATCTCTGTTTCATTCTTGCCTCCTCACTTGGGTAGTCCTGGTAGAACACTAAGCAGGCAGGTCATTGGAACACAATGGCAGTTTAGTAACACCCTTGAACAATTTTTTCGTGTTCAGAATTTTTGATTTAATTTTAAATGTTCAGAATTTTTAATCCATTTTTTAGATAATCATATCAAGAGATAAAAACAACTCAGTGTAACAGATGTTATTAGAGCCAACCTTTATATGTTCCAAAATGGAAATGACTGAATTAATTCTTACACTTATGACTGAATATATCCTTACACTATGCAGACGTTAAAAAGTCTTATTTTCAGCCAAGCATGGTGGTGCACACCTGTAATCTATAAGATGAGGCAGGAGAATTTCCTCAAGTTTGAGGCTAGCCTGAACTATATAAAAAGGACCTATCTCCAAAAAAAGTCATATTTTCAACAAAGGTAGAATAATACAGATTAACAAACAATTTCTGTTTAAAGTCATTATTTTATGTAATATTATACATAGCTAAAGGACTAGAGGGCTATATACAAAGATGTTAACAGTGGATTGATTAGTGCTTTTAATTTTTGTAGAACATTTTTATTTAGAAACATTACATTACCAGGAATGCCATGTTATTTTAATACATGAAAACCAGTCAAATTAATGGTCCATATTAATAAAGTAAAGGACAAATACCTGATCATCTTAGTAGCTGCAGAAAAAGCATTTGGCAGAATCTAAGACCCTTTTGTTGTAAAAGTACTCAACCAACTAGGAATAGTAAGGAACTTTCTCAATCTAAGGAAGAGCATCTTTTAAAATTCTACAGCTCAGGCCAGGGATATAGCTCAGCGGCATAAGTGCCTGCCTGGCAAGCACAAGGTCCTGAGTTCGAGTGCCAGTACCAAAAAAAAAAAAAAAAAAAAACAAAATAAAAATAAAAATTAATAAATAAATAAAATTCTACAGCTCCCATCACACTTGACAATGAAAAAGTAGATCAATAACAAACAAGATAAAGATGTTTCTAAATAAAATTGTTTTACAAAAATTAAAAGCACTAATCAACCCACTGTTAACATCTTTGTATATAGCCCTCTAGTCCTTTATGTATAATATTACATAAAATAATGACTTTAACCAGAAATTATTTGTTAGTCTGTATTATTCTACCTTTGTTGAAAATATGACTTTTTTTGGAGATAGGTCATTGTAACTTTTTAATTCAACATTACCGTGGAGATTTTTGCAAGGACAGTTAGGCAAAAAAAGGGGACTAGAAGATATCCAGATTGGAAAAGAAGAAATAAAATTATCTCATGCAAAAAATCATGTGAAAACCATCCCTGTGCAAAAAAACAAAACTATATTTTCTAAAACGTACCTTGTAGAACTTATCTTCTAAAATTCTAACTAGTTCAATAGGATTGTAGGATACAAGATCAGTTCAAGAATATTTTCTAAACACTCAGTGAGAAATACAAAATAAAGTAGATAAAACAATTATAATAGCATATTTAGGAGTAAATATAATAAAAGATGTTTAAGACTCATACACTGAAAACTGCATCTTTTAACATTGTTAAAGAATTTAAAGAAGACATGAATGAAATGAAATGACATTTTAGGCTTATAGATTTAAAAAGCTAAGATGGTAAACTGATACACAGAGTCAATTCAGTTCCTGTCCAGATGCTTTTTTATAGGCATTAACAAGCAGGTCCTAACATTTCTATGGAAAATCAGGGGATCCATAATAGCTGAAATAATCTTCAAAACAACAAAACTGGAAGACTCATACTTTCCAATTTCAAAACTTACTTCAAAGCCACAGTAATCAAGTCTGTGAGGTGCTGGTATAAGGACAGCCTTATAGACCAATGGAATAAAGAGTCTAGACATAAACCCATAAATTTATGGTGAGTTGATTTTCAGTAAGAGTGCCAAGACCATTCAGTAGTGAAAGATTTGTCTGGTCAACAAACGGTAATGGAGCAGTGGGATGCAAAAGATTTAAGTTGGACTTCTGCCTCACAAACTCAATATGGATTGAAGACCTAAATATAAGAATTAATACTGTAACACTTGAAACAAGGATATATATCTTTTTAACCTTGGATGACAGTGGTTTCCTAGATCTAATACCAAAGCTACACATAGCCCCCAAAAGAGATAGATTTTAGACTTCATTAACATTTTCCCACTGGCTTTAACCACTAGTGCTAAGTGCATGTCCCATCGGGCAGCTTGTTGGGACTGTGCCATGCCACCCAGTGGGACAGTCATGCATGTGGTTCACAGCCACCTGGTACAAATTATAACCCTGTCATGAATGTGTTAAATTTAAAACTTCAGTGCTTCAAAGGACACCACCAAGAAAACAAAAAGACAGCATCTAGGATAACAGAAAATATTTGCAAGTCATATACCTGATTAGGGACTTATGTCCAAAATATACAAAGAACTCTTGGAACTCAGTAACATTTAAAAATGGACAAAGGGTTTGATTAACCTTCTCCAGTGTAGATACATAGATTGCCAATAAGCACATGGAAAGATGCTCATTAGTTATTAGGGAAGTACAAATGAAAAGGACCGACAACAAAACTGCTAATGACTATGGGTGGAATTCTTATATATTTCTGGTGGGAATGTAAAATAGAGGAGCCATTTTGAAAATAGTTTTATGATTCCTCAAAAAGTTAAATATAGAATTACCATATGAACTAGTTTTTCCACTCCTCACTGTGTATATAAGAAGTGTGAAAACATAAGTTCTCACAGAAATTTTTATCTGAATTTTCATAACGACATTATTCACAATAGGCAAAAACCAAGAATTACCCAAATGTCTATCAGCTGGTAAATGGTAAACAAAATGGGTATGTCCATACAGTGGAATGGAATATTACTCAGCAATAAAGATGAGTACATTACATAAAAATGCATGCCATAAGGTGGACCAACCTTGAAACCATTATGAAGCCAGACACAGATGGCATGAAACCAATTATATGCAATGACTAGAACAGACAAATCTAGAATTACAGAGTAAATTAGCAGTTGCTAGAGTGTAGGACTGGGAGGAATAAGGAGTGATTGGCAATGGCATAGGATTTTTGGAGAATGCGATGAAAATGTTCTGCAGTTAGTAGTGAAAGTTACACAATCCTGTGAATACATTAAAAACATATAGTTGTATACTGTAGAGAAATGAATTTTATTGCATGTATGAATTATAGCTCAATTTTTTGAAGTGGTACACAAATTAATAAAATAAAAATGAAAACTACTCATCTGAAACTTCAACAATAAATATAATACTACATTGAATATCTATTACTTTTATTACCAGAAGGAAAATAGTGTATCTCAAATGCTTTAATGTAAACTAGAAAGCCAATTTATAACAATATTTTTTCTTAGAAAAGCCTATAGTAGTGCCATGACATAGACCATGTATTTCTTTGGGTTGTTTAACATTTAAATTGGATGGTTTATTTAATCATAGAAACATTCCTCTGTCCATCTGGCAGAAGTTCACAGGGAAACCAGCTGCTTGCTGATGGCTCTTCCCAGAGTTGGATGAAAGAGGCCCCTGTTTCCTCCCCATCCCCCTCTCCCACAGCCTCCTCACTTGCTCTATCACACACCCTTCTAAGAACACTCGCAGCTGGTGGGTTCTTGGCTAGCTTATGTTTTGAACTTTGCTTATCATGCTGAATATACGTGCTTCAGAAGTATTTCATTCTTAGCAAAATACTCATGGCGCGCCTTGTTTTTGACAGGCACCCTACTGGTTACCAGACTATATTCTTCTGTACTCTGTCAGTCTGTTGGTAGCTTGATGAGGGATAAACAAATAAAGGTTATTTTACTTTAATGAATTTTGTGTTTGAAGACCCTATGAAACCTTAAACTGAAAGTGCTTTAGGGGACAGTTACAATATAAGAGCATAGCACTTAGGAAAGACCTGTGAGTATTGAACTCTGTGTTCCTTAAAGCAGCTACTTCTGATTTGTTCTCATTGTCCCTAAAGTACTGAATACTTTGGCTGCAGAGATATGCGTATTTTGAAATTCAACCTTAAACTTTCTAAAGAAGAAGCATGGTGTGGTATAAGCTAGTCAGGAATTTATGTCAAGGAAACCTTGATACTTATGTATGTATGTGTATTTTTTAATCTCAGCAACAGGGTTTATGAAGTTACTTGAATGGAAAAGAAAATGTATAGTTCTGTTGTGATCATGTGGATAGAAATCAAAGTTAAGTTCAGTGAAGAAGCTGGGAAGCGAATCTATATAAAATTTTTTGTTTCATGTGCAAGACAAAAGATGAGGGCCAAGGTTATAGCTCAGCGGCACAAGTGCTTGCCTGGCAAGCACAAGGTCCTGAGTTCGATTCCTGTGCAAGGGGTGATTTGAGATTTAGAAAAGCCATCCAGGAAGCACAAGAGGAGAAACATTCTTGGGCTTCCCACAATCACCCACACATTTGAGACCTACTAAAAGGACTTTCAGGAATTAGAGATAGCTCTATTTATGGCTGAGTTTGTTAGAGCAGAAGAACACACATCAAAACCCAGAAGGGAAAAGACTTACAGAGTAATCTGAAGGAGTCTAGGTATAGGCTTTCAAAGTTACATCTTCCAGAGGTAGTGTTAGATGGCTGCTCCTCCCTCTAACAGTGAAATTCAGCAACATGTGTACAGTGTTTCTACCCAGGGAAGCTTGCAGAAGTGTCCAAGGTGGGAGAGAGTCACATAGGCCCTCTGCTTGGTACAACAGAGTCTAGTGTCCCTACTCTCACTTAAAATAACCTTATGATTAACAAAAGGAGCATTAAAAACTAAGTTACTAGAGGCTAACCGCACAGGCAGGACCTTCTTAAAAGCAATTATTAACCCTGCTGTGTTAACTCTTCCTGCACAGACACTTAAATACCAAGTCAGTAGTAATGCCCATACCCATGACTGCATGGTTGTATAATTTTCTCTGTCAAGCAGTGAAATAAAGTAGTTGTTAAGATTTATCCAGATATCAGCTGGGCATCGTGGCACATGTTCGTAATCCCAACACTTGGGAGGCTGAAGCAGAATTGCCATGAGTTTGAGATCAGCCTGGGCTACATAGTGAGTTCAGGGCCAACCTGAATTACAGAATTAGACTGTGTCAAAAAAACCATTAAAAAAAAAATATTTTATCCAGATGTGAGATGATAGAGGCTAGAAGTTCTAAGAAAAGATGGAGGTAGATAAGCAACAAGGCAGTAAACAGTACGCCTGAACATTTAATTCTGTCTTCATAAAAAAATTTTAGGGATTATACAATCACTTTTTCTAATATGCTAAGTTTTCCTCTTTTTGCTTGCTTTTTCATCAAAGAGGATACTTCTGACAAGATGGATGGTAAGATCTTCCTTTTAAATTCTACTATATAGTTTTATGGCTCTTGGGCTGTGAATTATATCCTTGTTCATTCCACTCTTAAAATCTGAAAATACACTATTTACCAAGAATCTTACTGTGAAAATGGCTGCATAATTTGCTAATTGAATTTTGGATTAGGTATTTCCATTTTTTGGATTTCCCAATCTACTCAAATAGTAGATAACTGTTTGTTTTTATTTAAGTCAATTGTTTTAAAATTTTTTACCTGTGCTCTTAGAAATATGCCCTTGAATATTTGTTGTTTCTTGTCCTCCTCAACAATATAAGATTCAGAAGAAAGACAAGTAATGTCATTAATCATTTGATTCAGCACTTTAGTTTATTAGCTCTGTTATAGACAGAAATGTGACATAGAAATATGACATTTCACAGGTTCAGATGTTTGTTTATGAAAGTGAAGTACAGGTTACAGATGCTGTCTTTTTAACATTGAATTTCAAACTGACAAGTAATCCTTATTATGAGCTTTGTCAACACTGGGGGTTGTAGCTCCGTGGTAGAGCAGTTGCCTAGTATGTGCCACATCAATCCCCAGTACCAGGAAAGAAAATAACAACTGTGTCTTTTTTATTTCAATAGTCAAATGGTTATAATCTATCTGTAGTTGCTTGGTTCAGTAACAGACCTATAAATTTCTTGTCTGATCTTAGCATGTTATTTGTATCTTGCCCTTAAAAATAACTTACAGTAAAATACTAAAATCTTTAAGTCACTTTATGAGAGCTAGGAAAAATTTAGACATTATTATGTTTTTCAGTCAATTATTGCATCAACTCTAAAAGTTGACCTAATACATACTTTCTGTTTTAAGGAAATGGAATGTTTATTTAATCTTGGGTTGGGTACAGGAATATTAGTTAAATTAACCTCTCCCTTTTTTGTATGATTAAAGTATTTCATTAATGAAAGAACATCATATGACAGCCATCAAGAAATGGTTTGTTAGCCAGGCATGGTGGCCTGCACCTGTAATCCCAGCACTCAGGAGGCTAAAGCAGAAGGATCACCGTGTGTTCCAGGCCAACCTGGCCTACATAGTGAGATACTGAACTATATAGTGAGGTCCTGTCTCAAAAAACAAAAACCAACCAAAAAAGACCTGAGGATGTAGTTCAGTGCAAAGGGCCTGGGGTCAATCCCAGTACCACAGTAGTGGGGAGGAGGGTGCTTTACAAAACCTTAGTTATCACTTCTAATATTGATATTCCTGGAGCCTTTAGAAAATTTTGTATTGTTTCCAATCAACCTATTTTCTTGTTTAGATGAGAAGTGACTTATTTGAGGAGTCTGATCTGTTACATGATGTATATTCCAATGATACTCAACTGTTTTTTATTTTTTGGGTTTTTTTGGTGGGGGAGGGTTTCCGGTACCGGGAACCGAACTCACGACCTTGCGCTTGCCAGGCAGGTGCTGTGCCGCTGAGCTAAATCCCCAGCCCCCCTCAATTGTTAAAAAGTACACACAGACGTGTACATTATACTCCTTTATGAGCCATGAGTTGTTATGATGGTTCTTTGGCCTTTTCAGTAAATTTCACTGATGCTTTAGGGAGTAATCATGAATGTTGCAGAAATAACTGATGGATAGGATTGATAGGTCTTTGGCTTTGTATATGCTTTGAAAATTCTGGGTATTTGAAGCCTATGCCATGGATTTGACTTCTATTATTTGTCAATTAGTTTTTAATACTGCTTTTATGAGCTACCTTTTGAAAATACACTGAAAACATTCCTACCCTAGAAAAGTCTGTAAAAATCTTTATTTGCAAAGAAGAGTATTGCAGAATTACATCTTTCTTTCTTGAGTAAATATCTTTACTATAGCAGAGTTTAAGGGTGAAATATAGAAATGTTCACTATAGAATTTTAGCATTTTCTGTTACCTAATTTCAACTCTTTGCCTGTGCTACGAGTCAGGTATCCCAGATTTTTTTCTCAGAATGAATATTTTCAACATTAAGTTTTATCAGATTAAAAGTGGGGTTTTTTTCTCCTCATCTTTTTGTTTTAGTCCTGGGTGGGTGTTAAAGGTAGCAGCATGGCCAGAATTTGTTGAAATGTTGTTTTATTTCCCTTATTTAGGCACAGCCTCTGAAGATGGTAAGAATTACACATTTTGTTAGTAACACAAATACCTCTATGTTACTATTTCCATTGGTAGGAATTAAAACTAAAATGGGCTAATTTATTTGCAAATCTTTATAATTTGCCAGGAGTGGTAGCTTTTACATTCTACATTTGATTGTGTTCACTCTACATTTGGTTATGTTTGTTCTGTGTGTGAATTTTTTTTCCCTACTTCTTCATCCTGTAGTTTTGCTTTGTGTCTTGGATCATTTCATGTTGAAAAATATACTTTCTTAATATGTTTAACAATATCTACTATAAAGTTAGGACATAATTTCATTTTTTCAGTAATGTTATTAAAACACCTCTTTTGGTTTTGTGTTTTTTTAATGTATACCCATTCATTTCTACTTTGCAAGAGCATGTGCCATTGGTTTTTCATTTGCATTTAAATGCTTTTATTTAGTCCACTTTGAAATGTATCTTTTATTTTTGCATTAGTGGTTAGGGCATCAGTTACTCACTGAAACGAACTTGAGATTACAGCTAAGTTACTGCATGTATTTTACTGAGTTCACCTTAAAAGCAATTATTTGTTCCATCTAAATTTGTACGAAGGAAAAAAAATTGAATTTTTGTATTCTGTCTGAAGGCCATCTTATAAAAACCTTTGATTTAAAATACATTTTTTTCTCTAACTTTTACATAGATGACATTTGCTTGTGTATAGAGCCAAGTAGGTTTAAAGTGGTTTTGTCTCATAATTATTTTGATAATATTTAAAATAGTTTATATTTTAAGCTTTAAACTAGAGTACTTTATAAAAACATGACTTCTGACATTGTGGCCACTAATAGCAATTTATTTAAGCATTTTGTAAATTAAAACATTACTATCAGAATACTTATATCTTCATTTCTTAAACAGAATGTGGATAAATTCTCCCATTTCAAAAATAATAATTTGATCTTTTTGCTCTACTTCTTAGTCATGGAGATATTATATCCTACTCAAAATAGATTGTAAAGGCCTGAAAGACCTGGAATATGGACTATTTAGGGACCTTGAAATTGCTGGAATACTAGAATTTTATCAGTTACGTTTCTAGGTTTGCCTCTTTTATTTCTAGTTTTTATTACTTTCTTATTTTGCTTCATTCTTAAGTTTTTAACTTATTTCTAGTCTGTAGTATATTAATATGGCTATATCAAGATAGCTAGAAGTTTATGTATGCCTTACAAATTTTGCCTTTTAATTAAAAAGATTCTGTGCCCTCTTTTTGAGTATAGGTCTGATTTGATTGAAACCATTGCTTGAGAACACCAAAGTACCTGCTAGTAATGTATTTCATCATCAGTTGTGCCAGATATTTGAGAGGCTTAGGCAGGAGGATTAGTTTAGCCTTTGAGAGTGGGCCAGTGTGAACAACATAGCTAGATCTTATCCAAAAACAAAGCCTAGTTTATATTTTAAAAATTTTAAGAAAAATATAACCTGTAGGTGGTGATTACATTATTACAGATTTAACAATGCTTGAAAAGAGTAGATTTATTTCCTTATACTATTACTTTTTAAAGTTTTTAATTCTGTAAATATTTTACTCCTCAGGCCGGGTGAGAGCAAAGCTTTCAGCACCACTTACTGGCATGGGAAATGCGAAGACAGATTCTAGAGGAAGAAGTCGAACAAAAATGGTGTCTCAGTCACAGCGTATGTACTGCTTCTTAATCCCCCTGTATTTGTGAATATGTTAAAATAAATGTGTTGCTTGCATATTACTGTAGTAGGAGATGACCAGTGGACAAATTTCAAAAAAGATCAGACATACTGAGTTCTTGTTCTGTACTTTAGGTTCATCATCACCTGACAAAAATGAAGGTATTTTTTTTCAATGTTTTGGGTCAGTTGTTGTGCATGTTTTGGAATTTTTTGAGTGAGTGTTGTCTTGTCTTTGTGTTACTAGGGCTGCATCATTGATATCTACCACTTAAAAAGAGAAACTTCATCTGTTGTACAAACTTTTGCATGGAGATACTTTAAATAGCACAAATATCCTTAGCATTAAGATTTTCACATTCAGAAACTTGCAAATGTGGATAATTATATCTTTTAAAAGCAAAATAATTGCCATATATTAGCATCAGAATCTGTTTGCATCTAGTTAATGCTTTTCAAAGACAGATACTTTCTTCTTACCCCACATTCTGTTCTTAGAATATGTATTTTTCCTTAGCATTTTTGGAAGGTACATACTGATTTATAATGATTTAAAAAATAAACTGAGATAATCAGTTGCCTGTATTCCTTAATAAATTGAAGATTGATTGTTTTGCTAGTTGTTGGAAACTAACGAATTTCCTCATAAGAAAAGAAAGGGAAGAAAAAGCACCATTTGAGGATCTTGGGTAAAATGAATGTTCTATTTCTGTATGTTCCAGAATAGCAACATATACATCTATAACATTAATTAAAAGCAATTTGATTCCATTCCTTCTTTACCAAGAGATTTTCAATAGCGTTTATCTCTAACATCAAGAATTTTTCTAGGGAAGTAATTTTGAGGGTTGTTCTATATACTTGGCTATTTTGGAATGAAATTGATTTAACTGTCTTCCACTGATATTTAGATGATTTGTTGGGATGGGGATGTTTTTTAAACCTGATTCCTGGAGTTTGGAATCAGGAAAAGGCAAAGCTTGGAAAGAGTAGAGTGATAGTTATACAAGGCCTGCCTAAGAGACTCTTCTCTTTCCAGAGTCTGAATACTAAGCAAATAACAAAGGAAGCCCTCATCAGAATCTTAAGGATATGGAGAAATACTCTGTAGAACTGGTTTTCAAGTTGAGGATTATTTACAGAGTAACAGATGTCCTCTAGGCAAAGAATTTTCTCAGTCAAATGAAGAAATCATATCACATTCTTCCTTGATTCTGTATATATTTCTGGGATGGTTTATATGGTGTGTTAGTCTTTTACTTCTCTATGTATGCCTTATTTCTCCATATGTGCAGTCCAGACCAGTATCGGGATCACTTGTCAACTAATTAGAAACACTACCACATACCACCACAGATCTGCTGAATCCAATATGTAACAAGGTCACCAAGTGATTTGTGTCATAGTGACACTGAAGAAGTACTGATTTAGACCATGGACTTTGGGGCTAGGGATGTAGCTCAGTTGTAGCATGCTTGGTTAGCCTGTATGAGGCCCTGGATCCAGTTCGGTCCCTAGCACCACACGTACATACATACATACACACACATACACACACACGCACACACACACACACACACACACACACACACACACACACACATCAGATCTTTGGATCCATAATGCCCGGGTTGGAGTCCTGGCTTTTCTAAACTAAAATTAGTTTATTTCTGTATGCTTACCTGTAAAATGAAGAATATCGCTGTAAAATGAAGAATATTGTACCATCTACCTTGTAAGATTATTATAAAGATTAAATAATGGAGTATACTTAATACAATTCAAACAGTGTCTGGCTCAAAATAAGCACTCTGGCTCAAAGTAAGCAATAAAATTGTCCTCATTAGCTGGGTGTAGTGGCACACGCCTGTAATCCCAGCACTTGGGAGGCTGAGGCAGGAGGATTGTTGTGAATTCAAAACCAACCTGGGCTACAAAGTGAGTTCCAGGCCAGCCTGAACTGCATAGCAAGACCCTGTTTCAAAAAGACAAAAAATTAATTAATTAATTAAAATTGTCTGTTATTAATTGGGTATCATTAATTGGGTATTAATTGGGTATCATTGAATTTGGGTATTAATTGGGTATCATTGAATTTCATACTGGTTTTGTTTTTCTTGCTACCTTCAGTAAATGGAAGTAATAGTGAAGTTAGGAAATTTAAAGCACAAAACAAAGAGAATAGCCAGAAACTGTCCCTGTCCAGGATTTAAGGATAAAATTTAATTGTGAGATACTGGTTGTCTTCTAAAATAATGCTAAGGCTGATCTCTTGGCAGAAGTTCAGTTTTTTTGTTTTGTTTTGTTTTGCTTTTGCTTTTCTTTTTGTTTTCACTGTGCTGGGCCTGGAATCCAGGGCTTGGCACGTGCTCAGCAAATGCTCCATGGTAAACCACATTCCCAGCCCTTTGGTAGAAGGCTTACGGGTTTCTCAAAACGTTACTTGAGAGATCTCCTGTTTGGGAACGTTGTAACTTCAGATCACTTCACTAGAATATACAATAATTATTATTTCTATTTGTTTCTCACCTTGAAACCCATCCCACAATATTCCAGATCCTCTCCTAAAGTGTGAGAACATGATTGGCTTTTGAGACTTGGTAGAACTTTTAAGATCAGAAAACTGTCTTGCTATAAAATCACTTAGGTTTAAAATCATACTGGAGAGTTTTTGTTTGCCTGCTTGCTGATTTGAGTGATTATATGTTCCATTCCAAATTCTTTCGTTAGCAAAAAGATACGTAATTTGTATGCAAGTTTCTTTACAACACATTCGCACAGAAGTATTACGTTAATCTCCATCTTCACTTTGTCATAAAGTAATTCATTAGGGTTTGCATGGTCTTTCCATGTGTTTTTGTATTGTCATTTAGAAAAAAAATCTCTTGGATCAAAGCAGGTGTGTCTGATGGCTAACCAAATAAATGAAAGCATACCCAATGGAGAGACGTCTAGGTTTGTATTTATGAAAGAATTGTGTCCCTTTTTGTTGATAGTGACAGGTTGTGTACAGATTGTACAGCCTGTCAGAAACTTTGTCTCCCCTCCTCCCACCTTATTTTTTTTCTGTGAATCTTAAGATGTAGTTTTTTTCATCTAATTGTTCTTCAGCTATAAGATGTTGTAGTTGTTCCTTACATCTAGTTTTGAATTAAATGTTTAAATAGTAAGAAGCTAAACATTTAATTATTTAAATTTTGGATTACTGATAATAGAAAAGCTGAAAAATTTACATTTACTTTTGCAGCTTCATTTCATCTGCTTTGTACATGAGTGTTTGGTTTCTGTTTATCAGCTGTGAAAACTACTAAATGTACTGCTTTTGTTACAGACATCTGTGCTTTGGAATTTTTTAAGATTTGCTTTTTTTTGCATTAGGGATTTTTTTTTCTGTGAGAACTGACTAAAACTTTATTTTCATCTGCCATCCATTTTTAAACTGCTCTTTCCCTCTTCATGGATTATAACCCTTACCCTAATTCTGCCTTTACACTTGTTCAGGATCACAATCTGCTAATACCATTGGTGGTAAGAATCTATAGACTTTATGTATGCATCTATTGTTTGATCACATATTATCATTACCAAAAATGGGTTCTATTCAGCAGAAACTCTTTAACATGCAATTTTCCATTTTTCTATAATCATTGGGACAAAAATTGCCAATTGTGATTTTTCTTTGTATTACCAAAACCCTGCATTTTTAAAATTATCCAAGTTGAACCTGCAGGTGCAATCATTCAAAAGAAAAGGACCTTTGGTAATGCTTTGAAATATCATAAAAATTATAAAATAGTAGTTTGTAGGTAGCAGAAGAGAAAATCGGTGTCCAGTTTCAAGTTCTGCTATTCCCTGTGTGCATCATATACTTTTTCATCAACTCTGTGGTTTTCCTAAAGGAAATAATTAGCCTTGATTGCTCTTTACTAGGGAAAACAGCTTTGGTATTTTCTTCTAAATTTAAATAATCCCCATGAGTCACAGGCACTGGAATTATCACAGTCTTGGTGGGGATCACAGGGTATTAGAAGAGAGAAGGATAGTGGTTAAAGTGACATGTACCCTGCCAATATTATTTCCTGGGAGAGAGTATGAATGAATTTAAATATATAGAGGGAGCATGCATAAATTTCATACTCAATAAATCTAGAGCAGACAGAGCAGCTACTCTGCTTGGAAACTGCGCGTTTCCTTCCTACCTGCTGAATAGACCCACGTTTCAAGGAATCGTCCAGTTTTCTCCTACCAACACCTCCACTTCCCCAAATATATACATATTGGTTTTAACAGAATACCATAATTATATGTGCTCAATTCATTATTTATACTTTTTATATTGTTGCGAGTTTTCCCATAAAATATTCCATCGGCCTATCTTGCATTGTGAGTTTGTGGCATGTTGGGTATTTGGATGTTTTGGTGTGTATGTTTAGTTTAGATACTGCATGGAGAAAAGAGATGTCTTCTAACTATCCTTACAATTATAAATGAAGAAATCAGGTTTGAAGATTCTTTGCCTGAAACATGTAGCATTCAAATGAACAATCATTTTAAAGTAGAACTTCTACTCAAATAGTAAATTTGTTAGTTTCATTAGAAATACTGCTTTGTTTTACAATATTACTGTCACCAGTGGGAGATAAGTTTCATTTTGTGTGCTGGTAAAGTGTAAGAATGAAGCAGGAATAGAAATTGTACTTGGTAAGAATATGCCAAGAAAACTTAAATCTCAAGAGTCACAGATCAGCAACCCACGGACTACATCCAACCTGCTTCATTAATGTATTGATTGATCTGTACATGATAAAAATCTGGAAATTTCAAAGTTTTTATAAAATTCCAAGACTGAGGCAGTATTATCTTGAGACAGAGCTCACTAGAACTAAAATTCACCTGCCCCTTAGCAAAGGATAGACACTCTCCTTTAGATAATGGTCCTCTTACCACTCCCTGCTGTATACTCAGTACACTTTTCTTGGGGGACGGGGTAGCATCTCATGCTTGGCATTTGAGTGGAAATGAATCATGATTGAGTGAGATTGTACAGCATCAACAGTGAATCTTCTAGATAAAAGTGGTGCCCAATGAAGGTAAAAGGTTGTTTCAGGAAGCTATATTTAAGTGTAAGTTCAGTTTTTCTATAATGTGACCATTCAGAGTCTGGAGTTAAATTAAACTTTGGAGTTATCTAGTCTATTTTCCTGTTCAGAACAAAGTTCTCTGATGAGAAAATTTGCCTCTTTAACAGTTAACTCATACTTTTCTAGTTTAAAACTGTTATTGGTTTCACACACACACACACACACACACACACACACACACACACACACACACTTTCCTGATCTCTCTGATTTTTGTTGAATTTCTCCTGTCTGACCGACCACATCTCTGACTTCTTTCACATTTGCCCTTTAGTCCTGTTCCACAATCAGTATTTGACCTTAGAATGGCCACCCAAGAGCACTTTGCTGTTTGAAGACAAATAGCAAAAACAAGTTTCTTTTTCAGCTGACCCAATTTTGTTAAAATACTCATTTAGAAGTATCTCAGCAGGCAAACTATTTTAAGATAAAATAAATTATCATTATTATATACTTCATGAAAATAATAGCAGTAGTAGAATAAAGCGTTCTCTCCATACCTTTCAAATATTTTTCAAAGGGCTTTGTTTTTTGTTTGTTTGTTTGTTTGACTTAGTGCTGGGGATCCAAGGGCCTCACACATGTTAGGCAAGTACTCTACCATTGAGCTGTATCCTTAGCCCTCATTTTTAAACATCTGAAATGTATTGTCAAGTATGTTACTGCTTTGGAAACTTGTTTTTACTATTTGTGTTTTAAAAATCATGATGTTATTATTGAACATAGTGTCATACATCCCCCAAACTGAAAATATACTTTATAGATAATTTACCCTTCATTACTATTATATATAGTATTCCCCCCACCTACTATAATTATATATGAAGTCTGTTTTCTTAAGCTTAGAACATCCTCAGTCCATTTTCTTAAACTTAGAATATCTGTACTTAATAAGTTTTCTCAAATATATTTCTTGACTTTTTATCCTTTGAACAGGTTCTATTGGTGTTCATATCTTAATATTTATATGTGTTTAATGTTTAGCCGGCAGCCGGTCTGGGTCTCCAGGAAGAGTTCTCACCACAACAGCCCTCTCTACTGTGAGCTCTGGGGTTCAAAGAGTCCTGGTCAATTCAGCCTCAGCACAAAAAAGGAGCAAGATACCACGGAGCCAAGGCTGTAGCAGAGAAGCTAGTCCATCTAGGCTTTCAGTGGGTAAGACTTTGTATGTGAAAATGTGACCTTGTATTTCTTTTCTATTTCAGGCTTTGGAAGTATTGATGACGTTAGAATATAATTAGGCACTTACAAGTTAGAAGAAAGCAAAACTTCAAGTAAGAATTGAAGTGTGGTATAGGTTATTGAGTGGAATCTTCAAAATTAATTTATAGCTTTTAAAAATAATAGGTAATATTTTAAAGCACAAGAAAATGTAAAATTTATAACATTAGACACATTTATATGTATATATGTACATCACTGTATATGTAAACTGCATATATTTCATATTTGTAATATTGATCAGCCTTATTTAACTATTAATAAGCTCCCATGCTCTCTTTGTATTGACTGGGACACTTTCCAGTCAGGTAACAGAAGTTACAACTGAAGCCAGCTTAAACAATAAAAAGGGATTTGTTGGCTCTTTTAACTGAAAAGTTTAGAGGTTGTGCAGTCTTTGGAGCATTGTCTTCATAGACTCAGAATGTGTGTCTGCTGTCTGGCTCTTTATATATCTTCCCTCCTTCCCTCCTTTCTGTTTTACCAATCATGGTATTCACTTTGTCCATAGGATAGCTGTTATTTGATCCATTGGTCCCAGGGCAGAAAATTGACTACTCCAACTTCTTTTTAATCCTTTGTTTTTCATCGTTTTAAAAGTCTTTTGTAGATTACCTGTATAAAGACTATCCTCCTGTTTCTATTTTTGTTTCATCAACTTTAAGCAGTATCGCAACTCTCCTGCCCTTCCCTTCACTCTGTTCTCAGGGTTATTGGCTTTTTTTTACATTACTAAAGTTGACACGTGCATTTTCCTCCAAATTCTCAGTCAGGTCTTATGTACTTACTCCATAAGTTGACTTTAAAAGTTAAAAAGCTGAAAGTAACATTTGTTGTGTTATGAGTAAATAAATGTTATTTGCTGCCAAGACATGAAATATGCTGTGACCTCGTGTCTCCCCAAAGATAACCTGAGGTTTCAGTGTTAGAGATCATCTATGTACATGGAAATTAGTTCTCTTTTTCTTACAGCCCTGGTAGTTAGATGAAATTATGTCACATTTTGGTTTGCTTTGTATTTGGAAAGTCACTTTCCTATATTATATAACTTTTTTCAGCATTTCAATTTGTCTATAGGAGAATAATGTCTTCTTATGTCATCTTGTATTGCTGTCCTTTTGGTGTAGTACTAAGTATTGTGTGGAGTTCCACATTTTCTGAAGACTTTGCTTGTTTCCAGCACTCTGGATTAATTGCTCCCCGCTTGCTCAGCTGTCATTTTGGGGTTCCCATTTACTACTATCCTGGATTGAATGTATTCTTCCCTGGATGCTCTTTCCTTCATTTACTCTTTCGCTTTGCCTCATACATATTCTCAAAAAACTTCCTTAGGAATTGTATGTAGGAGTTAGTTTCATGTCTAAGAATGAATGCCTTTATTGAGTAGGTGCCACAGACTTCTTTTAGACCTACAGACTTTGAATTAGTATGCTTAGCAGCAATTTTTTCTTACAGTGCACTTGACATTTGTCCCAAAGCCCCTGGAATTTTCAGCCTGATTTTCTTCTTTTTGTCTTCCGTACATTATTTTAAAATTCTCTACTCTACTTTTGGTCAGTCCTCATGCCTAGGTTCTCTGTTCATTGCTTATTTATTTCTATATGTATATTTTTAAAATTTGTGAAGGATGAGAAAAAACATGGGAGTTGAAAGCATTAGCTCATTTATTATGAACTGAAAACAAGAATGAACGTTGTACTTAAGATTTATGTTTGACAAGTATAGATTTTCTATATTAAAAATAAGATATTTTTGAGCCAGGTGAAGTGGTGCACACCTGTAATCCTAACACTGGAAGGCTGAGGCAGGAGGATTGCCATGAGTTCGAGGCCAGCCTGAAGTACATAGTGAGACCCTGTCTCAAAAATAATTATTAATTAATTTTTACCTCAGATACAAAAAAGATAGAAATGTATAATTCAACAAAGGGGAAAATTGAGTTTTACAGTATATGTTGTATAATATTTTAAATCTCCTTTTTACTTATATCTTTATTTTAATAAGATACTATTTTACCCGCCCAATCTTGTAAAAACTAGAAGGACCATATTCAAAAAACTTAACTGTATTCCTACATGTTTCATCAAGAGTAGTTCTTTTCAACCTTAAAAAAAATTTTAATTACCAATCAATTCTTAAGAAAGCAAAATAAAACCAAAATTTAAAAATAACCTAAACCATGTCTTCTGTTTTCTTCCCTGCTCTGCTGGTGTTGATTTACACCAGCCCGCAGCAGTCGCATTCCTCGACCAAGTGTGAGTCAAGGGTGCAGCCGGGAAGCCAGTCGGGAGAGCAGCAGGGACACGAGTCCTGTCCGTTCTTTTCAGCCCCTTGGTAAGCATTTGGGCAGGTGTGAGGGGCATTCCTTTCACCTTGAGTTTTCACCATTCCGTAACCTCAGGAGACCTGAAATTTAGCATTCTTCTTCAGCTGTATCTTTGCTCTTGTTTTCTATCACTTTTAGGGAGCCATCAGAAGGAAGTAGGTTTGGAAAATACCTTTGACCTTACTAACTTAAATGAGCAAATTGGTCATTATTTAAATGAATTGCTTTCATAATCAAGTAAGTATTGTAAAAATCTAAACTTCAGAATATTGATTTCAATTTTTTTCTTAACAAACTTAACAGAATTTAAGCCAGGTGTGGTGGTGTTCACCTGTAATCCCAGCACTTGGAAGGCTGAGGCAGGAGGATTACTATAAGTTTGAGGCCAGTCTGGGCTACAAAGTTAGGTCAAGGGCAGCCTGACCTGAATAGCAAAACCCTATCTCAGAAAGAGAATCAATCAATCACACAAATTCACAGAATTTAAAATTTTTAAAAATATTCACAAGTGAAATATGGACTACTTAGTTTTATAAAATACCTCTGTCCTATTCAGCAGAAATAGTGACTGTTTAACCTAGATCATTTAATGTAGGTTACTACAAAGAGTATACAACACTATATGAACTACTTATTAATGGAAAAAATTAACATTTTTATTGTGTTTTACAGTTTAACAGTCATTTCCCATCTATAGCATATGTCATGTTCCTGCTATTAAACTTGTGCTCCTGATTATAGAGCTTGTATTATAACCTTGATTATAATGCTGAATTTATCTCAATTATAAAAATAGTAAATAATTTTTTTAAACCATTAATATTTTTAGGACAACTGGAAAGGCATAGTTTTTTACATTGAGAATCTCTACAATGTCTTCATGGTCCTTCAACATTTTAACTAGAGAGTTGGCTCTTCAAGAGTTTGGGATGATTAAGTAGAATGAAGTTCTGTTAGTTGTCTGTTTGAATTCTTATTTCTTCAGACATACTACTGTAGAATTTCTGTTGGTTTACTTCTAATTCTCTGGGCCAGTGGGCACAGATATATCACAGGTCTGTCCTGTACTGATCTTTTAGCTAGGGATATACATCAATATCCTCAACCATGGTTTATGTTGTAGCCTCAGGGTTCAGAGAGACTGTCACTTTCTCTTTCCCTGTGGGAGGGTACCAAGATAACAGTTCCTCTGCATCACTAAGGCCAGGTGTGACAGATGCCTTGCCAGAGATATTTTACCCTGTAGAATGCCTGCATGTGTGTGTGTATGCATATGGACACATATGTACATGGTACGTCCTCTGTATATATATTTAAAGAACTGAAACGTGACATTTATGTACAATAAACATGCCATGTTGAGTTGAAGGAACACATTGTGGTTCAAGAACATACCTTTTTTTACTAAGTTTATTGGTACATTTTAGATATACATAATGATCATATTCATTGTAGGAAATTTGTACCCATGAATGATATATTTTGATTTCTCTTTTTTTCCCAACCCCCTTCTCTTCTCCTCCTTTAAGAACATACCTTTTATGGTCAGATGGCTTGGGTTCATATCCCAGGTCTTCAACCTTTCTGTGCCTGGTTTTCCTTATCTATAAAATGAGATACTACCAATAGTTTCCTTATCTGTGAACACATATAATATGTATATCATAGGATTGTTTGAAGGACTCTACAAATGAGAAAATACATGAAAAAGCCATCAGGACAGTCCTTGGCACACTGAGCATCCAGTTACTGTGGTCTTTTATCCTCTTCATCACGCCCCCACCATTGCTGCTGCTAGTGCCCTTCTCCCCTCTTCTCCACACACTCCCGAGCTATAGTCACTTACACTGCAGTGGGAAGGAGCTCAGATTTTTAAGTGGTGTAACACCTGTCTTTATATAACACTGTGCTAACAGTGGGAATGACGGGAAAGCATCAAGAAGAACCAAAATACGTTTTTGTAACTTTTAAACCTGTACATTAGTCAAAGATTACAGGCAGTTTATAGTCAACTACTAACTGCTTTAAAGTAAGCTTTGTTAATAGGCTACATCTCAAAGGACATTTAGCCATTGATTTTTCTAGATTCATTTCAAAGCTTCTATTTTATAATAAATTAAAATTTTATTATTAAAGGAAACAGCTTTGCTGATTCTTATAAAACTTCCCATTTGGCCTAAAGGTAACTAAGCCTTTCAGTCATATAATGTTAAAATAATTTTTTCCAACCCCTCAGTCAATTTACAGAATTAATTTTTATAGTCCTTTTATTTATATACAGATACTGAATGGCAAAGGCAGCAGATTAGCCCTGTTTGTTTCACAGGGATGAAGAGCTGCATTCCCAGAGATTAAGTGGTCCTCACCACTCCTATTTTTCTGCTACATTTGCCTCCAGTCTATAGTCCTTACCATATATGCTTATTTGGTGGAATTTTTTGTTGCCTGTGACTTTGAATATTGCTCTTTAACAGATGAATCCTATAGCTTGTTAAATATGCACTTGTATCACAAGCCTTTGGTGAAGACCATAACATTTCAGAAAGAAAGCAGAACTGAGCAAAGTAGAACTTCTCTGGAACTTGCATCCTGGTTTCCGTTTATTTCTGGAACTGAGATTCAGACAAAAAAGCTCTATTACAAACACTTGCATGGTGCCTCAACCACAGATAAATATTGATCCCTTCAAAGATTTTCACCCAGTAGGCATTTTCAGATTTGCTCATATCTTTATTTACCACTTTCAAATTATTTCTGTTAAAATGAGCTATATACTGTAACTTTTTTTAAATAATACTAATCACCTTTCAGAATTTATTAACCTTTTTGTGTAGCATTCTCTGTCTAGTTTTTCTTTTAGTCTTTTTTATTACTTTCCTGTTTATTCAGGTTTCCCTGTAACAAAATAGTGACTTGGGTAAAAAAGTGGTTTAGCTGCTCTAATTAATACATTTGAAGAAGTCTAACTTTTAAAATAAAATATTTCATTGAATATTAAAATGCATTTTTCTTCCAGCTCTTTATGTAAGAGAAAGATCAACTTTATGGTTTTAGGATAATCAGGATTTTAAGATACAAGACATGATAAATTTAGATTCTAAAGCAGTATATAATGAGATGCCACAAATTTTTAGGATTTTTGTTTTGTTCTAAAATTATTGAGTTTTTTGATAAAGGTGCTTTGATATTTAAGTAGTCTGTTGAATGCAAAACATGTATTCAGTGAACCATTACAAAAAATGTTGCTTTTAATCTAATGAGGTATATTATATGAGTAAGGTGAAGATGTAGTATATGTACTATTTACGAACAAAGAATTTGAAAGACTACATATACTGAAATGTATCACTTACTTGTAATATGGCTTTGTTCACATAAGTTAATCTCTGTGCTCTAATTTCCCCATCTGTCTTTATTCAGGTGCTATAACAAATACCAGAGCCTGGGTACTTACACATGACAAAAATTTATATATCATAGTTCTGGAGATCAAGAAGTCTAGGGCACCAACAGATTCGGTGTTTGGTGGCAAATCTGTTTCATGGTTTCACAGACTGTAGATGTGTCCTTGGGTAGTAGGAGCTAAATACTACTCTGGAATCTCCTTTCTGATTACACAAAGGCCCTACCCACCTCCTGAGACTATACCATCACCTTGGGGATTAGTCTTTCAATATATCATTGGGGAGGGGACACAAACATTTAGACCTTTAAAATTGAGTTATAATAGCTACCTGTTGGTTGTTGAGATAAAAGGAGATAAGATTATTATTAGCTACCAGTTACCATAGTGGTTTTTTTTTTACCTACAATGTTTTTCTTTTATTGTTCATTTGTTTTGTTTTCATGTTTGTATTTTCAACATTTCCTTCCATTTGAATATTAGCTTTTTGCTTTTTTTCTTCTTTCTTTCTTTCTTTCCTTTTTTTTTTTTTTTTTTTCCAGCTCCTGTAGGCCTATGTCTGTCCACTTAGGTGTAAACTGTGTCTGTGTGTCAGGAATGATCTTGCAATGCTAATGTTCAGTTGCCATATGTGGCAGTATTTTGATCATGAACTATTTAAGAGTAACACCAGTGTTAACTAACTCTCCTTGCCTGACAGTAGTGCTGCCACTATTCCTTGTTTCTGTGGTAATAGATGAGGTTTGTATGGTCCTGTTATTCCAGCCTCCAGACACCATTCCCGGTCTACTGGTGCCCTCTACGCCCCCGATGTGTATGGGGCCTCAGGTGAAGAATGAGTACATTTTCACTATCATCTGTGCATTTGTCTCAGATTTTGTTCTTTTCAGTCTTCATGGAGTGTTACTCATTTTTAAAAATTGATTTGTTTTTATTTACATTTAACTTGTTGGAGCATACATTACTTGTTGTCTTTTCTTTTACCACAAGTAACTTTTTCCACCTTAGCAATCCTACTGAGCATTTTTTTTCACTACCAAATGGGCATTTTTCTTTTGTATAACCTGTTATGTCATTTTTAAATATAAAATTGTTTTATGTTCTTGGTTGTGTACTTCATCTTTGTTTATGTTTAAAAAAAAAACCAAAATGGTGGATGAAGTGTTTTAATTGTACATGATGGTATATAAAGCAGTTGAGGGAAAATTCATCTCTGGTTTGTCTTTACATATCTCAGAATGTTGGGCACATAATAGCCCCTCTACAGATAACAAATGATCTGTCTTAATTATAGAATAAAACCAACCTATCTTGAAGAAGAGATTAATGGAGCTTTTCTTCCTAGTGCATTCCTGGTGTGACTTCAGTGATCTCCCAACTATTATTGGCTGGGATTGATCTTTGTGGATTTCTTTGTGATTCACCCATATGGAGAGACTTGCTTCAACTGACAGAGCTGGATTAATTACAGGGGTATAGATGTCCAGGTCCTTAGTCTGCCAACTATACATATTTCTACCTGTGGACATAAAGAATTACTATTCTTTAAATATATTTCCTATACATTGTCAATAATTTTAATTGCCTTTACCCTTTTATTTGATCAAGAACTCAGCATGACCAGAAAATACAATATTGCTTTTAAAATGCTTTGCCCCATTGGTTTTTTTTCCCCCCTTTAGGGTCTTAAAGTTTCCCAGCCTAACACTGTTATATGCCTACCTCAAAGCTTTTTTCCTCTTTTGATGAATTAGGTCCAGGGTATGGAATTAGCCAGTCAAGCCGACTGTCATCATCTGTCAGTGCCATGCGAGTCCTGAACACAGGTTCTGACGTGGAGGAAGCAGTTGCAGATGCCTTGGTACTCTTCTCCATTTCCGTATTATTATACATGTTCCATGTATGAAAGCAGTGTATGAGAAAGCCAGTCTACCTGTGTGGAAAAGGAATGAGAAAGTTCTTCTAGATTGATCCAGGATGATAAAATATGGACAGTGTAAAGCAGACCAGCATACTTAATTCTTGACCCTTACTGGTTAGATATTTAAGCCAGAGTCAGTAGTACTGATGAGTGTCAGGAGCATAGTCATTCCTAAAACAGTAATGTGTTTTATGTACTGTAGTATACTAAATGTGAGGTGAAATAGATTGATACACTTGTGTACACTTGCAGGATTATTTTGGTTGTGCTGATTTTGTTTAGTCTTTTAATTATGTGTATTTTTTTAACTAAGAGAAAGTACAGCTTCAAGGCAAATTATAATCAAGGTATCCTCCTGATTATTTATGCCTGACACATTAGGCAGTGAAGTTTAAAAACGTGTTGTAGAGATTCATGGTAGTTTGTCAGAAGAGTGCTATACGTGTACCGTAGTTGTTCATTGTTGTTTTTCTCACTTAAAACTATAACAGCCATAATTTATTGAATATCATTACCTATGTAGTTCCTATAGTCATTATTGCTGAATTTTTCCCTTTGCTTCAGCCATTTGATCTTTTTTATAAACTAATATAACAAAGTAGGAGTTTTGTTCTCTTGGGCATGGGATATATTGATCATGTCCTTTAATAATGATATTTAAAGGGTATTTTAAATTTACTATTTTGTATTTCTGTATTCTTAAAATATATTTTCTAGGTTTTTTAATTGGATGGTTTACCAGTTCACTTCAGCTTATTTATATAAATTTTATGAATTGAGTGGGTTATTTTTGAGCTATCCCTTGTAATACTAAAATACTGTTTTTGAATTACATAGAAATACTTAAGCAACAAAGGCCTAGATGTGAATCCATATAATTTTGTTCTACTTTCATTATTTGCCTAACACAGATACAACAGTTGCAACTAGCAATTTGTAAGAAAAAAATTTCCCACTATTAAACCTAATTTGAACCTGGGTAAAATTAGAGAAATAAAATTAAATTTAGGAATACCAAAAGGATGCAAATAAGAATATTTAAGATTCTTTGGGGAAAGTGGTTATGGGAATATTTTTATAGTTCAGCTGTATCTCTTTCAACTAAAGGATATTGTTAGATTAAAGATATAGCCTGCTGATAAGCAGTATTTTGTATCTAAATGTTAAAAAACTTAATGTTTCTGATCATGGGCATTGTTAATGCCTACTTCACTGTGCTGTTTAGCAAAATGTTCTTCATTATCTTCAATTTCTTTCTTTAAAAATTCACTGCTCTCAGCTCTTAGGAGACATACGGACTAAGGTATAGACATTATTTTCTGACATCTTCTGATAATAAGACTTTTTATTTCATCAATTTAAGATATGGTTTTCTATTAAAAAAAAATTGGAGTAATAAAAATCCTTAGACACACATCTGCTTTTCTACAGGGTGATTATCAAGAGACAGATACTGCCTGAATAAAGGGTCTCACGGGGTTGCTAGTTTTTTCAGCCCAACTACTTATACAAATGAGATGAGGTCATTTCCAGTGATGTTTATTACAAAATTGATCCTGGACCCCGACACAGGAAGCATCACAGTGTTGCTGTTCTAAATTAAGTTAGTGTGTCTAGAGCAAATGAGTGCAGTGAGTGATGGAGACATTATAAAACTATTTTAAGTCCAAAGCATAGTTCTTTCAGATTTTACACTGTGGAGAACCTATGATCACTTGGAACTATTTTAGATTATTGTATTTAATATATTTGACTGAAATATCTTTACCAGCCAAAATCCAAATACCATGTTATGTAGATGTGTTTCCAGTTCTTCCAGTGGAAGTCTCAGATGTCATTTTCCATATGCAAGGTGTAATTGCCTGTTACATAAATTATAAACCTTAGATGTAAAGGAATAAAATGAATCTTAATATACTTTCTCATATTTATTAAAGTAGATAGTATAGATACGTTGAGAAAACATGGAAGGCCCTCAAGTATCTTGCCTCCTAAAAGTACTAGTAAGCAAAACAATTTCTCGTCGTTCTTTATATTTTACTTATCTAGGAGACATGAGGGTTGGATATAAGGGAAGAGTGGCCAGACAAGTGGTAGTGGAGGTAAAAGACTAGGACAGAGACTAGGAAAGACAGGACAAATGAGACTTACATAGGGCAAAAACATGCACACATCTGATCCATTGTACTCCTTCTCTAAAAAGGTAGTGCTTTTCTTCTTAGCAATTTAAATTTCTAGTAAGTTTCTGTTAATTTTACATTCTAGTAGTTCTTGATTTTCCATGAAAAAGATTAAGGAAAAAAACCCACATATTTTAGCACTTTCCATGTAGGTATCTAAACTTCCATGTAGTCTTACTCTTCCTCTACCACTTAATAGTAAAGTATATTTCATCTTCTACTAACTTCTAAAATGTTTTCTGAAAAAAATTAAACGTTGATATTTTACAATTATAATGATTAGCAGCATGCTTTGTACTGATTTTAAAACAAAAACCGGTCCTTTTGTGCTCAAGAGGTACTGTGAAATACCAATACCTTTTTAGCTACTGCTAATGACATTCTTTGTGTATAACAGAAAAAACCTGCTCGAAGAAGATATGACTATGGAGTACACTCAGATGATGATGCTAACAGCGATGCTTCCAGTGCTTGTTCAGAGCGCTCCTATAGTTCTCGGAATGGTAGCATTCCTACATACATGAGGCAGACAGAAGATGTGGCAGAAGTGCTCAACAGATGTGCTAGTTCCAATTGGTCAGAAAGGAAGGAGGGGCTCCTGGGTCTGCAGACCTTGTTAAAAAATCAGAGAACATTAAGGTGAGATATGTTGTCTTAAAATAATTATTCTGCTGGGTTAGCACCTTTTGGCTTTATTTCTATAATACTTTAGAGATAATGGTATAGAAACACTCTTGTCCTGAAGTCACAAGTTGTGTTACATAATGACTTTTTTCTTTATTTCATCAATTTAAGGTATGGTTTTCTATTAAAAAAAAATTGGAGTAATAAAAATCCTTAGACACACATCTGCTTTTCTACAGGGTGATTATCAAGAGACAGATACTGCCT